CAGGTGCCCCCACCTTGTGATCTCATTTTGGAGGAGGAAATGTAGGTTCTGAGAGTTGAAATAATGCAACATCTTTAGATGTCAAGGTGAAGGGGCTTCTTCATCTTTAGAAATGATTTTTTTAATTATAAAAAAAATAATATCTTCATGGAGTTGTCATGAGCACAGTTAAGGATTGAGGACTCTGCATATAAAGCAGGCTGGGAAGGGACCCACTGTGGTAAAGTGCCTTCGTCCAGTATCATGATCAGGGGCACCTGGGGGGCTCAGTTGGTTAAATGTCTGACTCGGTTTCAGTGTAGGTCATGATCTCGCGGTTTCGTGAATTCAAGCCCTGCATCAGGCCCTCTACTAACAGCAGGGCAGGGCCTGCTTGGGATTCTCTCTCTCCCTCTCAAAATAAACTTTTAAAATGCCATAACCAGGGGCACCTGGGTGGCTCAGTCGGTTAAGTGTCCGACTTTGGCTCAGGTCATCATCTTGTGGTTCGTGGGTTCGAGGCCCACATCAGGCTCTGTGCTGACAGCTCAGAGCCTGGAACCTGCTTCAGATTCTGTGCCTCCCTCTCTCTGACCCTCCCCTGCTCACACTGCCTCTCTCTCTCTCAGAAATAAATAAAACATTTAAAATTTTTAAAAAATACCATAATCAGGAGCGCCTGGGTGGCTTAGTCGGTTAATCGTCTGACTTTCGCTTGGGTCATGATCTCGAGGTTCGTGGGTTTGGGCCCTGCGTCGGGCTCTGTGCTGACTGCCAGCTCAGAGCCTGGAGCCTGTTTCAGTCTGTGACTCCCTGTCTCTCTGACCCTCCCCTGCTCACGCTGTCTCTCTCTCTCTCTCTCTCTCTCTCTCTCCTAGAAATAAATAAAACATTAAAAAAAATAAAATAAGATAAATAAAAAATACCATAATCAAATTTACAGTAAGCATAGGCACTAACTGGGCTCTAAGTGACATCCTGAGGACCTCACTGAACCCTCCTGACAACCTGGTGAGATAGGTATTGCCTTCACTGAACCAGTGACAAACACAGAGGCTCAGAGAGGTGAAGTAACTTTCCCAAGATTGCACAGATAGTAAATAACCAGATCCAAACCTAGGCATTTGGACTCCGGAGCCCATTTGCTTAACCACCACGCAGCCACGTCTCCAAGGAACACATCTCCCGTGTGTGTGACTGGAGGCTAGGGGACAAGGTCGGATCTGAGGTCACGAGTGAGTTGGCAGAGGCGGTTTTGTCCTTTTCCTGGAGTGGACTCGCCCCTCCTGCATCTTATCTACTCTGAGCAAAGCCTGTGTCGCCTGCTTTCATCTTCTTCCCACCCACCCACCTGTTTTCCACATGACAGCCAAAAGACTGCCCTTAGAATACAAACAGGATAACGCAGTGCCTGCCCAGAACCTTCCAGCCGCCTCCCAGCGGCCCGAATTTATAATTAACCTCTCACGTCAGGCCAGAGGTTCATGACTCATCTTCCCTTCCTTCCTCGCTCCAGCCACCCTGGCCTCCTGCCCACACCAGGCTCTCTCTGCCCCGGGGCCGTAGATCGGGCCGCTCCCTCTCTGTAAGGTCATCCCCAGGCCTCACCCGAGCCCCTCCTCAGACCTTCCCGACTCTTCCGTCTCCACCATCTGCCCCCAAACGTCCCCTGGACTATCGGAGCATAAGCTCAGCGGGGCAGGGACTTCGCCTTGGTTCACTGCTTTCCATGGGCCACTTGACGTGGTACCCGGCCACAGCGGGTGCTCACTAACCTTTTCTGAACCAAGGGAGGGGTCTGAGCAGAGGGGCTGCACTCTTCCCCACATCCACACGGTCCGCACGGTCCGCACGTGGCCCTGCGACTCCCTCCTTCCCCTTGACCACGGGCTGGCCCTGCAGCTGTGGCTAAGAAAAGATGGCGGGAAGTTTGTGCTGGCTTCTAGCCTCGGCCCAGGAGGTCACGCACATCTCTGCTGGGGGGGGGGGGGGCGGGCTCTCCCTCGGGACCCTGCCTCCCCCACTCTCAGGCGAGCCTGGGCACCTCGTCCGAGACAAGGCTGACCTTGCCTACTGCTAACGGACTCCATCTTTCCAGCGTCACTGTCTGACCACTGCATGTGCGCAGCAGGGCTGAGGGGCGTGGGGGACACCTAGGCTTGGCCCAGAGTAGGGGTGAGGAAGATGAAGGAAGGGCACAGCTCCGGGGCATATTTTGCGAGTGAGAGCAGAGTGGGGCCAGGGGGCCAGTGAGCGGGCACCAGGCAGAGGCGAAGACGCGGAGGGCGCCGGCGCTTCCGCTCGCCTCCTGCAGGGCGGGTTCGCTGCCCCGCTGCGGGGAGGGAGGGGTGAGCCCGAGGAGGGGCAGCGGGAGGGAAGCCCCCACGGCCCGCCTGGGAGCCTCTGGCCGCCTGCACGCTAGCTCCCCAGGGGGCCTGCGCGGCTGAAGAAGGAATGGTCCGCGGTGCAGATGGGGCGGCCCGACGTCCGAGGGTGGGGCGCCCCCCTCGCCCCTCCTCACCCCTCCTCACCGCGGCCACTGGCGGGCGTGGCGCTGCTTCTACCTGCTCCCTTCGCGAGAGAGACGCGGAGTCTGCGACGCCCACGCCCTGCCCTCTCGGCTCCCCATCACTGCTGTCTGGGCAAAGCCCTTTTATTTAGCTCATTTGCGGCTGATACCCGGTCGTGGGGAAGAGGCATGTGGGACCCGGACGGCTTGCTGAGCGGAGGTGAAAGGCGGCTGCGTCCAAACGGGGGCCGGACGTGCAGGACAGCGAACCCCAACCCCTGGCCTCCCAGACCCAAGCACCACGTCCCAGGAACCCGCTCTGGGCAAGTCGACCTCGAACCCGGCAGGAGTGGTGGACAGCAGCCTGCAAAGCTGTTGGTCAAACACGGGTTCGTCTACAAGACGACCCTCAGGGAGGACTTGTTCTTCCACTGCCCTGGCATGATTCTGTCAGGAGGCATCGCTGAATTTTGTTATTTCCAAGTCTTGGGCTTTTCCCAACAATGTGGCTGCACCCCCCCCCCCCGGGATGGACATTTAGTGCCCCCACCCCCAGCCACCTGGAGACAAGCACCTGTGGTCAGTGTGTCTGGGGCTGAGGACCCCAGGTGTTCCGTCCCCAGCACTCTGCACCCCCAGCTGCTGGCAGGAAGTTTCTGTTCTAGCCTCCAGCATCTCCTTCTGGTCTGGGGGGGCCACCCCCAAGTCTTGGATGGGCTGTGGAAGCTGAAGGCAGACAGATGTGCCCCCTGGTGGGCACCGAGGGGCGAGCACCTGGGTTGTCTCCTAGGGCCTGCTTCCGTGGTCCCTCCAACCCTAACCAGGGCCGAGGCTCACGAGGAGGGCGGGGAAGCGGGAATCCACGCTGATGGATACACTGTGGGGGGGCAGGGGGTTCCTGGAGCAAACCAGGGTACGGGGGAGCTTGTCCAAAGGGATGGAGCAGCACCTATGCTGGTGGCAGAGGTGGGGAACTGAGTGACACAGGAGCCTGTCAAGGGTCACCGCGTGATGAGGGGGCGCTGGGCACTGGGGTCAGATGCTAGGTTCACACCCACGACCAGGCCCAGTCGCTTCTCCTTTTAGAACCGCAGTTTCCCCATCTATGGCCAGGGGTGGCAGCAGCCTTTGCCTCGTTGGGTTACAGCGATAAGTGAGACGGTGGACTTCAGCGCGTGACAGAGGACCCGGTCCGTGGCCAGCTCCAGGCTTTGCCGTTACCACCGGAACCCCGTCCTCAGAGCCCCCACCTCCTCACGCTCCCCCCCGCTGCCCTGCTGAGGTCCTGCAGCCGCAGAGGCGGCTTCTCCAGGCCGCCTTCCTCAGGTGCACAGCGGGCATGGGGACACGGCGTCTGGCCGTGAGGAGGCACCGGGTAGGAGGGGTGTGCGGACACTCACGCTGACAGTGCTCCGTGTCCGCGTTCGCTGCCCACTGGACTTCCGACAGGCCCTTCCCACCTGTCTCACAGGCGGGGGCAGAGACCCTGGGGCAGACACTCGTCGCTCCTGGAGGTTGCCAGGCACCCAGACCTGCCTCAGCGTCCGGAGACTGTCCTGCCTCACAGGTCCTGGAAGGCGGAGGCAGCCTCCGGCCACAGATGCCCGACAGCACAGCTACCCGCTTTCCCAGGGCCGGGGCGTACTGGTCAGGTGCACCAGCAGCTTCCTAAAGGGAAGATGCCAGGGTCTGGACCCCAGGGCTCTGTGCTGAAATGAGGGCAAGGAGTGGGGGAGACAGCACGCTGATGAGGCTGGCCAGGGTCTGCATTCGACAGTGAGCCATGCCAGTCCCCTCCTCAACCACCTCTGGAAGGTCCCACACCCACTGCCCCTGAGCTCATACCCCCCATCGTCAGCAAGAGACTGGATTCTTCTCTTGGCAAAATGGACTACCCCAGACCTACTGATAGTGGTATTTGGGGGTCCCCACGAACAGGTGGCTGCCCACAATTACCACTGTAGCAAAAGATGTTTAAGTCTGCTGTTTACAGGGGCGCCTGGGTGGCTCAGTCAGTTAAGCGTTAGACTTCGGCTCAGGTCATGATCTCACGGTTCGGTTCGTGGGTTCGAGCCCCGTGTTGGGCTCTGTGCTGACAGCCAGCTGAGAGTCTGGAGCCTGTTTCAGACTCTGTGTCTCCCTCTCTTTCTGACCCTCCCGTGCTCACACTGTCTCTCTCTCTCTCTCAAAAATAAAGAAAACAAAACAAAACAAATCTGCTGTTTACAGATGTGAACATGGGAGCCCAGAGCCAGTAAAATCTAAGATCATGCAGCCAGGAGGCCACTGACTGAGATCAGAACCCAAGCAGGTCTGGCACTAGGCCAGTCCCTCCTCCAAGCCTCGTTCCGGCTCTGTAAGAGAGCAGTGCAGCCAGCGGCTCCTGGGCCCCTCAGTGGCCGGATGAAACCCACCTCGTCGTCTCCAGGCTCAAGGACGAAGAACTGGTGCCCACGGCCTCCTGGCAATGGGGGAGGTGGGGCCTGCCTAGGACAGAACCTGGAACTGCGGCTTGCACACCTCATCAGTGACTTTATTTCTCTCTGTATGCTGGTGAATGGTCTCCGCGACGCATCCCGGGGGCAGGCATCTCTGTCCGTCCCACGCCTTCCGGGCCGCGGAGAGGAGCAAGACCAAGGAGCCCACCAGCAGAGCCGGGTCCATCCTGTGCGAGCTACCGGCCCCTTCCCGTCCTCCCCCTCCCCAGGCGGGGCGCAGTCTCCCTCCTTGGCCTCCTCTGGATCCAGGGCCTGGTGTAGCCAGGGCGGGTGCAGGGAGGAGCGAGGCGGGGCTTGTGGGCCCACCGAGCAGCAGGGCGGGAGGACCGTGGCCAGAACAGGAACGTGGGGGCTGGACAGGAGGAGCAGGAAAAAGACGGCGTGAGAGCGCGGCCGGTTCGGGCCAGGAGCCGGCGGGCCCGGGCGGCACCGAGGGCGGCGGGCGCTAGCCCAGGGGCCAGGCCGGGAAGGGGCCCCCGCCGCCGCCGCCGCCGCCGCCGCCGCCCGGCCCCGCCACCGCGCCCGCGCCGCCCGCCGCCCGGCCGTGGATGCGCTGGTGGCGCAGCACGTGCTCGCGGCGCCCGAAGCCCTTGCCGCACTGCCAGCAGGCGAAGGGCCGCGCGCCCGAGTGCGTCTTGCGGTGGCGCACCAGGTGCTCGCGCCAGTAGAACGTCTTGCCGCACTCGCAGCAGGCGTGCGGCTTCTCGCGCGCGGGCAGCGGGCGCAGGGCGGGCCCGGGGCCGCCGGGGTGCGTGCCGCGGTGGCGCCGCAGGTGCTCCTTGCGCCGGAAGGCCTTGCCGCACTCGGGGCAGGCGTGCGGCTTCTCGCCCGAGTGGCTCTGCCGGTGGCGCAGCAGGTGCGCGGGCTTCAGGGCGGCCTTGCCGCACTCGGGGCAGGAGGCGGTGCCCGGGGCCGCCGGCGGGGCGGGCAGGCCGGGCGCAGGTGGGGCCGCCGGGGCCGGCGGAGGGCTGCCCGGCTCCTGCTTGTAGGGGCGTGCGGCCTGGGCGTCCCCCGTCGCCAGCACCTCAGGCCCGGGGGCCGCATCTCCTGCGGGGCAGAGGCACAGGGTGAGGGCGGATGGCTCTGCACACGGCGGGGCAGGGGCGGGGCGGGGCGGGGCAGGCCGGGGATGAAGATGAAGGGCTGTGTCCGGGTCAGGAAGGGTCCCGCTGGAGCGGGTGGGGAATGCTTAATGTGTAGAAACCGCAGGCTTCTTACTCACCCCTAGGACCCGCGTACCCAGCACAACGCTTGGTACACACCTAAGAGTCAGCGCCAAATAAATGCACGGATGCGAGGGGCGATGGGTGAATGGATGTGAACATCCGTGCCGTAAGAGGGGTGGCTTGGTGGAGGGGTGGCTTGGTGGGCGGACGGAGGAGGAGAGGGTCAGAGGAGTGAAGAGAAGTACCAGGGTGTGGATGGAAGGGCGGGGGTGGGTGGAGGGACAGTGGGGAGACAGATGAATGAATGGGCAGGGAGCCAGACTGAGGGGGACAGCGGGTGAGCGGGTGGACTGATGCCGTGTGGAGGGGTGGCAGCAGGCAGCGCCTGGGTGGGTATCTGGGTGGACAGCCAGGTGGGTAGGAAGCAGGTAAGTCAGCTGGACAAAGGAACCTCACGTCCTTTCTCCCGGTTTCCAAACTGCTCCGTGTCGTTCCAGGTAGACACACAACCGTTTCTATCTGATTTACCTCACGAGCTTCCAGAGCATGATTCAATTTACAGAAAACAGTCCCAGCACAACTGAAGAGTCTGGGCCTCCATGCCAACCACCAGATGCCCCGCCCTGGTGTCCCAGCCACGCCCCCCCCCCGGCCTGTGGACTGGGTACAGAGACGCCTGCTGCCGGGGCAGAAGCCCCAGATCCTATCCTGGCTCCGGCCCTGACCTGCCGCGTGGCGTCAGGCAAGCTGCTGGAGCTCCCCTGGCCTCAGGTCCCTGCTGTTAGACCCAGGCTTCCAGAGAGCCGCCGCGTGTACCAGCTGGCCGGCCAGAGGTGACGTGCGCTGGTGCACAGCAGCGTATTTGAAAATACGAAAAACGTCTGAAAATCAGGCAGTGGCCTAGAAATCCAAAACTTCTGTCCTCTTGAGAAAAAACTGTAGACGTGCTGGGCCCACATTCCCATGCGGCGACGCAGGCCGGAGACGGGCAGGACAGTGCCTGTCACTCGCCTACAGCTGGTCCACGTCACTGGGCGCCTGCTATCCTGACCCCCCACTCACTGTGCCCTCTGTGGGGGCGTGTCTGACCCATCTCCAGCCCTGGTGCCCAGCTCAGGACCTGGCACACGGCAGGGACACCGGGAATGTTCACTGAACAAACGAATGGCAGGCAGGAGGGGGACACCTTCAGGGTGACAGGGGTAAGCTACTCACCTAAAGGCATCATCACACCATCTTCTTTTCCGACAACCACCCCAGAACCTTCCGTCACATCCTGGGATGCCCTCATTGCTGGTCCCTGAAACGAGATACCACACTCAGAACTGAGAAACCAAAGTGATAGCCTCTACTTTTCTCCCCTGCGACCCCTGCTACATACATTCAGTCACCAGGTTCTATCACATGCTCGGGGGGAAACTGGCCACCAGGCCTCCTTAGCCAGGCAGGGGTTTCTCTCAGCCCGAGGAGCCCCGAGGGGTCTTTACAAACGTGGAGTTTCACATGCGGCAGTGGGGACGCCAAGGGGCAAGCCGCTCGGGAAGCAGTCTGGCAACTTGTTCTAAAATTACATACTCTTGGGGCGCCTGGGTGGCTTAGTCGGTTAAGCGTCCGACTTTCGCTTAGGTCATGATCTCGCAGTTCGTGGGTTCGAGCCCCGCGTCGGGCTCTGTGCTGACTGCCAGCTCAGAGCCTGGAGCCTGTTTCAGAGTCTGTGTTTCCCTCTCTCTCTGACCCTCCCCTGCTCACGCTGTCTCTCTCTCTCTCCTAGAAATAAATAAAACATTTAAAATAAAATAAAATAAAATAAAATTACACACTCTTGGGGCACATGCACCCTGATATCATAGAGCACTATCGACAAAAGCCAAATTACAGAAAGAACCCAAATGCCCATCGACGGATGACCTGATAAAGAAAATGTGTATATATACAGTGGGGTATTACTCCGCAATCAGAAAGAATGAAATCTCGCCACCTTCAATGATGTGGACGGAACTAGAGAGTATTATGCTAAGTGAAATAAGTCAGAGAAAGGTATATGGCATCACTCATGTGGAATTTTAGAAACAAAAGAGATGAAAATATGGGAAGGGAAAGGAAGGAAAATAAGATAAAAGCAGAGAAAGAAACAAACTCTAGAGACTCTTAAATGTAAAAAACACAGGACACTCCATGAAGACGTCTGGGGGCAGGACTGGCCCACAGGCTACAGTCGGTGATCCCCTACACTTAGTAAAGAGATGGCTGACCTTTGCCCTCAACTACCAGGAGGTGACCTCAAGCCCTGGGGCATCCTACCTGCCTGGGGACCTGGGGCCACACCTGATGGTCCAACAATATGATGTACAACTGGGACCTTCAGACACCCCGCACCTGCTCCCTGCAGGGGGGCTGGAGGGCGAGGCAGGTCGTGTCTGCAGCCCCAGTAAGCACTCAGGGCACCAGGCTCAGGGAGCCCCACCCCCACCCCTGGGCCGGCGATACCGCACACACGTGGTCACACAACATTGCCAGGAAGAGTCAGCTGCCCTCATGCAGAGGGCATGAGAGGAAGCGAACAGAGAGCCGTGCGTGGGGCACCCCTGGACCCCTCCCCTGCATCTCCCACTCCCGTGGACCCCGTCCCTGCGTCTCCCACTGCCTGGACCCCCTGCACCTCCTGCCTCTGCTGAAGGTGCATCCTCCCGCCCCGAGAGGAGTGGACACCATCACCGTGAGCAAGACTGCTTTCAGGGAGTCCCCCTCCCCCGGACTCACTCCCCCGCGGTCTCCGGGAGACCCCAAAGCTGCCATGAGGGTCCGCCGGCAGGGCGGTCTTGGGGACCATCCCCCTGCACTGCGCTCCGAGCCGGACTGTCCGCCCAGGGCTCGGGGCTTGAGCAGGAGCAGGCGGGGGCGTCCGGGGGCCTGGAGCTCGGGAGCAGCCCCCCCCCAGCCCCCAGCCGGCCCCCACACTCACCCAGAGCTCCTCCAGCAGGGCCACGGCGTCCTCCCCGCTCTGGGGCCGGCGGCTGCACACCCAGGCCTGGATGTCGGCGGGCAGGGCGCTCAGGAACTGCTCCAGCACCAGCAGCTCCAGCATCTGCTCCTTGGTGTGCACCTCGGGCCGCAGCCAGTCCCGGCACAGCGCCCGCAGCAGGCCCAGCGCCTCGCGGGGGCCCGGCGCGTCGCCCAGGTGGAAGTGGCGGAAGCGGTGCCATGGCGAGTCCAGGGCCAGGCCCTCGGCAGCCTGGCCTTCCTGCTTCACGGGCTGGGAACATGGGCCCTCCATGGGGTCACGCCCCGCAGGGACAGCAGCGCCTGTCGGGAGGGAGGGGAGCACGGTGAGAGCTGGGCCCGCGATGCTAGACACCACTGCCCCCTCCCTGTTGCCATGAGGCGGGCACCCCCAGGAGCCCAGTGACCTGCAGTGGGGGGCGGGGGGCGGGGGCGCCTCTCTGTGTCTCAGTCTCCCCTGTCCTGCTTGACCAAGGACAAGGGGGAAGGTGCCCAGTGCCCTGCATACAGCAGGTGCCCGAGGAAGGGACGTTCAGATCCCCATCCCGGGACACGAGGGGCTCCGATCCTGGCCCTGCCCTCCCTGCGGGGTGACGCTGGCCACTGCTGTCTCCTCTCCCCGCCTCACGTGAGCAGTAAACACGGAGAGCTCAGAGAAGAGAGGGACGCCATCATCAGCGCCGCCATCAGCGCAACCGTCATAAACGCTCGCCTGGATGACGCACAAACCCCGCTGTCCCCAGTGTCCCCACGGCAGATGCTTCGGGTCGCCCACTCCAAAGCCACCCCCAAATCGTCATGCTGAAACTGTCACCCCAGATGTGGGACGTAGGGGGGCGTGATGGGGAGGCCACCGATGTTGGGGAAGCTGGTGGAAGATGCGCGCTTCGTCAATCTGGGGGTCTCCCGCAGGCGGTGACAGTGCTGCCTGCTAGAAGCTGCCGGAGCAGCGACCCCAAAGTCCTCATCGCAAGAAACAACTCAGCCCCTGTGATCGATGGACGTCGGCTGAACCGACCGTGGCAACCACATCACAACGTACACACGCGTCACTGCGTCACCTTGGGCAATGCGACACCACATTGTGGGTCAATCACATCTCAGTGCAACTGGGGAAAGACGCCAAGTCGTGAGGATGAGGTCCAAACCCGACAGGACCGGTGGCCTCGGCGGGAGAGAAACACCTGCTGTCCTCTGCCGTGTGAGAACAAAACCAGGCTGCAGTCCCAGTCAGGAAGAGGTCCTCCCTCCTGCGACACCGAATCTGCACACTTGACCTTGGACTCTGGCCCCAGAACTGAGACAAACAGATGTCTGCTGTTAAAGCCCCCAGCCAGTGCTGTTCTCCTGGCCGCCAGAGCTGAGGAATACACGGATGGGACCCCAACCACGTCCAGGAACTGGGAAACATGGCGGACTGCAGGGGTTCACCCCCGCCCATTGTCCCCTTCTTCCTCTATGCGACACCCCCACCCCCAAGGAAGCCATGTGCACCTACTTCCGCCTTCCCCTTCCTGAGGGAGGGAATCCAGACATGGCCGTGGCTTCAGTTATGGGGACGACACAAGAGCCCGGAGCAGGGACCCTGCCGGGAGTGATGTGGCCCTGGGAGACAGCTGGGGAAGTCTGGAGATTTTTCACTGTTGGATGGGGGAGGGGAGCAGTGCATCTGGCGTCCAGCAGGCGGAGGCCAGGGATGCTGCTGGGGTCCCACAGTGCACAGGGCAGCCCCCTGGCACACGGTGATCCAGCCCCAAACGTCAGCAGTGCCGAGGCCGAGACCCCCCAGCTCGGGAGAGGTCCTCACGTGGTCCGGGGACCCCGAGGTACTGGCAGGTCGGTCAGAAGGGTTTCATCATGAGAGTCACTGCCTGTTACTCCCCTTGTCTCCTGCGGGGGCCAGGGGTCTTCTGCAGGCTGCGTGGGCACAGGCTGGAGTGGCTGAGCTGAAGTGGCCCCCGGGCAGCCTGAGTCCAAAGCCCTGACTCCAGCCACTGCGCCACTGACCACAGCAACCAGCAAGGGGTTTTCTCGAGAGAAACCACGTTCCTTCACTTCCCTGCTCCCAATCCTCTGCCTGCTCCCTTGTCTACCTTTTATTGATCTCGTGCCTCCATCCCTGACTCCTTATACTCAACCACGGTGCCTCCCGGATTACCTTCTCAGACTTAAGGCCAGTCCTACCCCAGGGCCTTTGTACCTGCTCTTTTCTCCTTCCTAACTCTTGCTCAGCCAGCTTCTTCTCATATTTGAGGCCTCCGTGCGATTCTCCTTAAATCATTCGATTCACACAGCATCCACACACCATTCCCTGCAATTACTATCATGTCACCTTTACTAATTCCCTTTCAGTGTTTAATAAGACAGGCTGTCATATTTGCACGCTGTTTTCCCTCACGAGAACTCGGGCTTCCAGAGAGCGAGAGACCACACACAGAGCCCAGCATGCTGGCTGGCACTCAGAGGAGGCGTACAGGATGATCCTTCCTACGTGAGTAGTATTACTGCCCTCATTTTGCAAACAGAGAAAGAGAAGGCGAGTTACTGGACGTCACTCAGCTGCTAAGTGGCAGAGCCTGGCTCCCCAGCCAGCGGCCGGCAGGACCACCTCCCACCCACCCATCCCTCCATCCAAGCACTGGCTGGGCCTGGGAGGCGCAGGGGAGGCTTCCCAGAACAGCTGGGCCAGAGCGGAGTCTCCGAGGACGCGAAGAAGCCTGCTGTACGGTGACGAAGACCCTCCGGGAAGGGAGCGGAATCCCACCTGAGGGAGCCAGGCCCCAGGCACCGAGCCGCAGGGCCCTGCAGCCTCAGCGAGGTTCCCGGGAGCCAGGCTCCCACAGCTGTCCACCGTGAGATCCTCAGAGCGGGGCCAGTGGGACCCTTCGCTGGGACCCAGGGTCACCACCCCGAGAACGCACACACTGAGAGCTAATAAGCAAGGTCACGGCACTCTGTAAACCAGTCCTTTCCAGCCCCTGAGGGTCCAGTGCCTCGTGCTACCCCCACAAAACCATCTGTGACACTGCTGTCTGTGTCCACATAGCCCAACCGGGTACCCTGGAGGCCTCGGGAGACAGCCACTGAGTGGCCTCTGCCTCACGCTGCCCCCACCCCACTGGCCCAACAGCCCTGTGAGCTGGGCACCACTGTAAGCAGCTGAAACGAACACTTAGAGGCACGATTCAAACCTGGAACTGAGTCCAGAGTCCACGCCGGGTGCACCCAGCACCCCTGCGCGGCCCGTCTGGCTAACTGCATGCCGAAGAGATGGGCTCTGGACCTCGTCTGGGTGCCCCACTGTGTGACCCTGGGACACAGGGCTTGTACAACAGCTCCTTCCCCACGAGGGGTTGCTGGGAACACGAACGAGAAGCAGCCCAGCGCTGAGTACACGTGTCTGTCTCCCCCACGGTTTCCAGACCTCAGCCCCAGGTGTATCTGGGGCCGGGGAATTCCGTGTCGTGGCAGCAACCCCACGGAACACGGCATGTTTATCGGCATCCCTGACCTCTTCCCCCAGATGTCAGTAGCTATCACCCCAACTGTGACAACCAGAAATGTTGCCAGATACTGCCACACGTCCCCAGGGAGGCAGACCTGCCCCCAGAGAGAGCCACGGGTCCACTGGACAAATATTTACTCAGAGCACACGGGCCCAGGAGCAAATCCCGGTTCTGCCACCTACCAGCCATCTGTCCTTGGACGAGGTACAACTGCACCTCTTACACACAGACTCCCCAAGGCCTGGGCTGTGCAATGGCTCAAAAAAATCAAACTAATCCCAGACCGCAGGATGAATCAAGATACAAGGAAAACAAGATACTGAGAACAGCCGCCGGCGCTATGCAAGTCCTCCACCAGAGTCAAAGCTGAATTTCTGCTACTTTGCGGGATGCTGGGGCACCGCTGTTAACCAAATACGCGTTAAAATCCAACCATACAGGGGAACAGGAGACGCAAGAGGGTGCCGGGGCGGGGGGCGGGGCAAAGGGGCAGCTTCAGGTGGCAATAGGAGCAAACACAGCCTCCAGGCATCTTGCACCCACTAACCAACCTCCCCTGCGCCCGGCCACTGAGGTGGGCGCTCGGGTCCACCGGGAGCGCAGCAAGGGGACCCACCTCGTCCCGGAGACCCGCAGAACTCTCGGCACGCGCGCTCGAGGCCGCTGCAAAATGAACCACCTGCACCCCCTCCCCGGCGGCCCCTCCAGCGGGGCGCGTGCCCGCGCCCTCAGCCCCGCCCCTGCGGGGACCCTCCTCCTTCCCGGGCCCTCCGTCACACCCCTCCCTCGGCGGCCCGCTAGCTCCTGCTTTCCCCACCTCCAGGGGCTACAGCCCCCTCCCACCTCCCGGCCCTCCCCCAGCCCCTCCCCCCGTGCCCTCTCCCATCCCCCTCGCCCACCTCCCGCTTTCCTGGGCCCCGTCTTCTCTCCTCCCCCCACTCCCCCATCCCTCCCTCCTCCGGCCTCCAGCCCCCCTTCCCAAAGCGCGTCCAACCGCCCCCCCAAGTCCCCCTTACCCTCCGGCTCACCTCACTCTCCCAGACGAGGCCCCCCAAGCCCCCTCACCTCCTCGCACATGCGCACAATGCTCACCGGGACTCCATGCCCCGGCAGGCTTTGCGCCAAACTCATCCGTCTCCCCCTCCCCCCAACACTCCGAGACCGAGTCGTCTGTCCCGGCCCACACCACCCCTTTACAGGCCTCACCCAGAACTACATTTCCCAGGAAGTATCGCGGCAAGGGACATTTCCCATTGGCCCCTCGCTGCGGCGACCCTCGCACGCCCGTCTCCGAATGGCTCTAACAGCGCCGGAACTACACTTCCCAAGGTGCATTGAGCTCCGCCAGTGGCCTATCAGTCCTCGCAAACAAGGCCTTTCCGCGCGCGGGACTTTGGACTACATTTCCCAGCATGCACATGGGGCTTCCCATTGGTTCCCGCGGCGACGGGGGAGGTGGAGGGGGGGAAAAGGAGGAGCGATGGCGGTGCTGTCTTGGGGAGGCTGGACGCTGGGCGCTCGGAGCGAGAGCCTCGGGCCGTCCGGGGACAGGAGAGGGGGGGCCTCTCCAGAGCTCTGTGGCCTTGTCTGCGGGTTGTCTCCTTGACAACAGGCCGCGTTTCCTCTCCTACGGCGCCCGGTGGCGCTGACCAGGTGGGACGTGCGCCGCCCAGGGTCGACCGGGTGCCCAGGTTGGGCTCCTCCGGCGCGAGCCGCGGTGCTTCCGGGCTCAGGGCCTCCTGCGTGCGTCGGGAGAGGGTGCTTCCCGCCACACGTCCCTGGCGTGCCCCCATCGGATGCGACAAGTGGCTCGGTTTCGCCATCTCGGAACCGGGAAGAGTCGTTCTTGGAGCGGGAGGAAGTCCTAAGAGACGGGTCGAAGCTCCGTATCCAGACGGGCCCGGGCCTGGGGGCGGCTCGCACGAGCCCTGGGGGCCCGGGGGCCGGCGCCGGACGCCGCGCCCGACCTCGGACAGTAACTTTCCCCCGGGTTTTACAAGCGGTCAGTGGCTGGATCAGAACTTGCTACCGAAGACCGGGTGAAGGCCATTGTCCCCATTATGGCCCACCCTCCCCTGGCCCGGCCCTCGCCCCCTCTTCACTCTTGCTTCGTGTGTTCCAGCCACACCGGCCTGCTTGTGCCTCCGGAGCACGCCGATCTTGTTCCCACTCACCCGGTTGCTCACGTGACATCCCCCCTCGGGTTGAGGGTGCAGAAGGTTCTGAGCCGGGCAGAAGTTTTTGCTCCCCCCGCCCCAGAAAGACCTGCATCTTCCCTCCTTCAAGGGGGTCCCAGTTGTCCGCTTCTCCCCTCCCACCGCCCCACCCCACCTATCCCTTCACACAGCAGCCAGAGGGATCATTTTTGTGTGTGAATAAAACATGCGTAAAACCCATCATTTTAACCACGTTCAAGTATACATTTCAGGGGCAGTAAATACATTCACATTGTTGTGCAAGTATCACTACCATCCGTCTCCATGACTCTTCCTCTTGCAAAGCTGAGAGTCTCTCCATTAAACAACTTCCCATTCTCCCTCTTCGCGCTCCCCTCCCCCCCCCGCCCCCGCCCTAGCCCCCGTACCTGATTCCATATGAGTGGAATCATTCAGTATTTGTGTCCTTGTGACTGATTATTTCATGTAACATAATGCCCTCAGGGTTCATCGTTGATCTGGTTTCTGTCAGAATTTCCTTCCTTTTTAAGACTGGTTAATACTTCATTATATCACGTTTTGTTTTACCATCTATCACAGGGCTCTTAAATCTCTTAAATCTTTTTTGCTTAAAACTCACCAGTGCAAACCTTTGATTCTGGCCTGCAAAGTCCCATATAATCAGACACCTTCAGATCCAGAATTATTCTAACTTATATGGTGCTTTGGTGCAAATCAGAAAAGAGTGCCCTTGAAGGACTGTGGGCCTGAGCCAGGGCGTGGGTCCCACAAGAACTTCAAGAGGAGGATTCGGCCACCTCTTCCCACCTGGCCAGGTACCTGTAGGCAGGATGCAAGGTTCAGCCCAGCCCTCAGCTCAACACCACTTTCCTTCATTCGTGACCACTGTGCGCCACCACATTGGCCTAATGTTCCTCTAACACAAGGGTTCTCAAAGTCAGGTCTCAGACCAGCTATACAGCATCACTGGGGGGCTTATTAGAAGTGCAAATTCTTGGGGCACCTGGGTGGCTCAGTCGGTTAAGCGTCTGACTTCGGCTCAGGTCATGATATCACGGTTCGTGAGTTCAAGCCCAATGTCGGGCTCTTTGCTAGCTAGCTCAGAGTCTGGAGCCCGTCTTCAGATTCTGTGTCTCCCTCTCTGGCCCTCCCCTGCTCACGCTGTCTCTCTATCTCTCAGAAATAAATAAAATATTAAAAAAATTTTTTAGGGGCGCCTGGGTGGCTTAGTCGGTTGAGTGTCTGACTTTCGCTTAGGTCATGATCTCACGGTTCGTGGGTTCGAGCCCCGCGTCGGGCTCTGTGCTGACTGCCAGCTCAGAGCCTGGAGCCTGTTTCGGTCTGTGACTCCCTCTCTCTCTGACCCTCCCTGCTCACGCTGTCTCTCTCTCTCTCTCTCCTAGAAATAAATAAAACATTAAAAAAAAATTTTTTTTAATTTTTTAAACAGTGCAAATTCTTGGCAGCTCTTTCTGCCCAGAGTCCCATCCCTGTGCTTTAATAAAATCACCTTTCTGCACCAAAAAGAAAGAAAGGAAGAAAGGAAGGAAGGAAGGAAGGAAGGAAGAAAGAGAGAGAGAAAGAAAGAAAGAAAGAGAGAAAGAAGAAAGAAAGAGAGAAAGAAAAGAAAGAAAGAAAAGAAAGAAAGAAAAGAAAGGAAGGAAGGAAGGAAGAAAGGAAGGAAGGAAGGAAGAGAGAGAGAAAGAAAGAAAGAGAGAAAGAAGAAAGAAAGAGAGAAAGAAAAGAAAGAAAGAAAGGAAAGAAAAGAAAGAAAGAAAGAAAAGAAAGGAAGGAAGGGAGGAAGGAAGGAAGGAAGAAATGCAAATTCTCGCCCCTACCTCAGACCCGCTGAATCAGAAACTCGGGGGAGTGGGCCCAGCACTTTGTGTTCACAAGCCTTCCGGGGGATGGTGATTCACACCAGGACACTTGCATCCCCCATCCGGCAGCACATTAGAGCAGTAACCCCTTCACAGGGTTCTTGTGCAGCTTCATGGGTGAATACATACAATGCGCTTAGATCACTGCCCAGTAAGGAGTAAGGAGTTGATACGTCAGCTGTTTTTCACTTTACCTTCAGTCACATAATCGATAAATGCAAGCCCAGCCCAGACACAAAGTTGGACACACACAGAGCCACCCCCCTGCACCTGCCGCCGGCCCCTAAAGTAAGGACAGCTCATTTCACCATGGAATGTTGTCTACTCATCTCTCGTGTAACTCGCATACAGGGTACCTATTCTCAGGCGGATGCTGGGGAGGATCAGAATACAGAGGCAGACGAGGCAAAGAAGCCACATCCATCCCGCGTCTAGGATGGTCAAACAATGGGTGTGTCAGGCTCTGAATACCACCAACACCCTTCCGGCTTCGAGACCCTGGACAAACCAGTGAATCTGCCTTCATCTGAAGTGGAGATGATCCAGCACTCAGGAGAGCCCTGGCCCATTGTGGCCAGTTAGGTGTGAAGGCAGGTGTGTGGGGACCTTCAGCAAGGCGGTTCCCAACGCGTCAACAAGAGGGAGGTGGCCAGAGCTGTCCTGCTTGGCCCGTCTGTGGTGGCTTTGTAAGCTGTGACAGCCACCTGGGTGCCGTGAGGGGTAACAGTTCCGATGCCCCACTTAGGATGGAAGGAGGAGAGATCGAGGAAACTGCCAGGTCCTGCACGGCGCGGTCGAGCTGCTGAATTGACAGTCGCTTGCTGACCCCCCCCTCCCCAACCCTCCCGACTTCTGTTTACATGAAATAAGTCCGTTCAAAGCTTTTCAAGTCAGCTTGTCTGTTCAAAAGTGACAGAAGTCACACCCGTATCCAGGGCCAGATTCATGGGATCACAACCAGCACCATTTTGCGCAGCGTCCCACACGCAGAAGGCCCCATGCTAGAAACTGCAGACGTTGGCAAGGATGTGGGGAAAAAGGAATTCTCGCGCACCGTTGGTGGGAATGCTCATGGGCGCCGCCACTGTGGAAACAGTATGGGGGCTCCTCAAAAAAATAAAAATAGAACTACCCAATGATCCAGGAATCGCACTACTGGGTATTTACCCAAAAAATACAAACACGCTAATTCAAAGGGATATATGCACCCTGATGTTCATAGCAGCGTTATCTATGATAACCAGATGATGGAAGCAGCCCAAGTGTCCACGGATGGATGACTGGATAAAGAAGATGTGGGGTACATACAATGGAATATTACTCAGCCATTAAAAAAACAATGAAATCTTACCATTTGCAACAACTGGATGGACCTAGAGAGCGTTATGCTAAGTGAAGTAAGTCAGACAGAGAAAGACAAATACTATATGATTTCACTCATGTGAAATTTAAGAAACAAAACAAATGACCAAAGGGGAAAAAAGAGTGGGGGAGGGGCAATCCAAGAAACAGACTGTTCACTGTAGACAACAAACTGATGGCGACCAGAGGGGGGGTTGGGCAGGCGGGTGGGTGAAATGGAGGTTAGGGATTAAAGCACACTATCATGATGAAAAATAAATGATAAAAAAAAAAAAAAAGGAGGGCCTCATGCTCAGTTGAATGCCCTCCTAGGGCCTTTTTAAGATTCTTAACCCTCCTTTTTAATTTTTTTTTTATAGTTTATTTACTTTTGAGACAGAGACAGCGTGAGCAGGACAGGGGCAGAGAGAGAGAGGGAGTCATAGAATCTGAAGCAGCTCCAGGCTCTGAGCTGTCAGCACAGAGCCTGATGCAGGGCTTGAACCCACAAACCGCAAGATCATGACCTGAGCCGAAGTCAGACGCTCAACCGACTGAGCCACCCAGGTGCCCCATCTTAACCCCCCTTTTTAAAAGTTTATTTATTTTTGAGAGAGAGCACATGTGAGTTCAGGGAAGAGGCAGAGAGAGAGGGAGAGAGGGGATCCCCAGCAGGCTCCACACTGTCAGCACAGAGCCCAGCGCGGGGCTCGAACTCATGAACTGTGAGATCATGACCTGAGCCGAGATCAAGAGTTAGATGCTTAAGCAACTGAGCCACCAGGTGCCCCAACCCCTTTATTTGAACACGTGGTTCTGCATTTTCATTCTGCACTGGTCCTCACAAATTAAGCAGCCATGTATGTGACACCAGCTTGGTGACTGTGCAACGTCCCCACAGCGCTGTCTCTCCAGCACTGGAATGCACCATAAATATTGGTGAGCAATGGAAGGAAGGGACGACTCCCTGGATGTCCTCCTTCCACCTCTTTCTCACCTGGTAACATCATACATCTCTCTGATTTATCTGTTCAGATGCTGCCTCCTCCAGGAAGCCTTCCCAGACTACCCCACCCCAATAAATTTGGATGAAGCACCTCATCTGCACTTCCATAGTGCCCCTTCTCCATTTCATGCTTGCACTTTTTTTTTTTTTTTTTTTTTTTTTTTTTTTTTTTTTTTTTTTTTTTTTTTTGGTAACTGCCCTGCTCCTCAGGTGAGCAAACCAGCCTGGGGCCTGCCTGTGAATGAGTAAAGAAAGATTGAGGGAAAGTGTTTCTCCCCTTACTTCCCATGCCTGAGGGCAAAAATTCCTTTGGCAGGAAATTTGGCCCCTATCCTACCAAAGCTTCTGGGCTGCTTTGTAGCACCACTATAATTATTACTCAAAATAATAATTAACGTTTTCTCTTTTGTATTGTGCTTTGTAGCAGGGAGATCCTACGGGGTGGGGAGGGGACTTGGTTCATCTCTGGGTGTCCAGCCCCCGCACCCGGAGGCTCAGGTGTTTATTGGATAAGTGGGTGAAGGATGACTGAGCCAGTCAGTCAGTCTGCACCGCACGAGGGCTCCCGGGGCTGGGTTGTGAGTGTGAGTCATCATGGCCAGGCCTCAGGAAACACCCGGGAATGAATAGTTAAATAGTTAAATTATGAATGAATTGCTTAATGATGGGCACTCAGTGCTTAATAACATTAAGCAATGTTATTCCACCCTACGCTCTCTGGGTGAGACTGCACAGCAGATCAAAGCATCAGCCCATTTTACAGCCGGGACTAGTGAAGCTTCCCCAAGAGACACAGAGAAGAGCCAAGCTCCACAGCCAGTGGCGGGGGCGGTGAGCCTGCTCTTCTGTTCCAGGTCCTCCGTGCGGCCCAGGAGGCAGCTGTTCCACCGGCCGGGAGAGCCTGGACTCGCAGACGGTGAGGGGCAACAGCCAAGGGGGTCAGGTAGGCCGTACCCTGCCAACACAGAGGGTTCCCGGAAGGTTCTTGCCAGCTGCGTGTCCACACATCTGCCCAGGTTCTCAGAGGCTCTCTGGGCGTCCACCTCAGCCCTCTACCCCACACCAACCCTGTCTTCTGTCTCAGGAGGTTGGAGATGAAAACTGCCTTTCCTGCCTCCTTACGACTAGAGTTCTGGGGGTGAAGTCAGTTAAATGCACTGGGGAAGAGCTGCGAGGTCGATCAAAGCTGCCAGAACTGCCTGCAGTCAAAGTCCGGTTGATGGAACGTTCTGGAAGACTTGTCCTAGGGGAACCAAAGGAGTGCCTCGGCACAGGGGGGGTGAGGGGAATCTTCCGAAAGCGTTTGGTTCCAGGGAGGGGTTAGGGAAGTGGGGACCAGGTCTGTTGGATGATATCAAGAAGCAAGGGCAACGCACTGAGTAGGTTCCCCCGTGTTTGTCCTGGAGGCTGCAAGGTCAGTGCACAGTAGGGTTCCTGGTGATCATGATCATTCACCGTGTCTGCTAGAACTGCCGCAACCAAGCACCGCACCCGGGGCGCCTTAAACAGCACAGACTAATTGTCTCCCAGTTCTGGAGGCTGGAAGTCCAAGATTAGGCTGTGAGCAAGGGCTGGTATCTCACGCACTGATCTGGGCAATGAATTTCAGCAAGTAGGCAAATTCTCAGGTATGGAATCCAAATATAATGAGGATCAACTGGTTTGGTTTTTTAAAATAAATTTAGGTGTGCCTGGGTGGCTCAGTTGGTTAAGTGTCCGACTTTGGCTCAGGTCGTGATCTCACAGTCTGTGGGTCTGAGCCCCCCGTCAGGCTCTGTGCTGACAGCTCAGAGCCTGGAGCTGCTTCAGATTCTGTGTCTCCCTCTCTCTCTGCCCCTCCCCTGCTCACATTCTGTCTCTTGCAAAAATAAATAAACATTAGGGGCGCCTGGAGGGCTCAGTCTTAAGCTGCTGAGTTCAGCTCAGGCCATGATCTCAAGGTTCACAGGTTCTAGCCCTGCATGGGACTCCATGCTAACAGCTCAGAGCCTGGAACCTGCTTTGGGTTCTCTCTCTCTCTCTTTCTCTCTCTTTCTTCCTTTCCCCTGCTCGTAGTCTCTCTGTCTCTCTCAAAAATAAATAAAACATTAAAAATGAAAAAATTAACATTTAAAAAATAAAATAAAACAACATTCTTGTAGAAATACGAAATGCAGGTGGCTATGTGAAGTGACCTTTCCCCAGTGCCACTTAGTGTGGGATGCTGAAAACCTCATGCGCCGTTCAGGGCCTCCCACGGAGGCTTTGCCGAAACTGAAAGGCTCTCTCCACCACACTGGGCCGACTCAAGAAGGGGGGCGCAGGATTACGCCTGCCTGCGTGGTCTGGGTCCAGAGCAGCGCCCTTCATCTTTACAGAGACAGGACCCCTCCCCCCTCCTCTGGCCCCAAAAAGATGTGAGATCAGATGTGGAACCAGCAACTGCAAACATCCGATGTCGGGATAATAAATACCAGCAAAAACTGCCGAGATAAATACACCATTATGTTCAACGTGAGTCCCGCAGCGGCAAGGAACGTCTCTCCTACCCTGCACCCGCTTAGGGTGTGTGCTGAAGGGCTACAGCTCGGAGAACAATCCTCTGCCAGAGGAGGAAAGTGAACAGGTTTTCCGGTTTGTTTACACCGAAGAAACCGCATACCGCCTCTCCTTAATTTTCTCACCACATTTTGTTGTTGCCAAAGCAGGTTTCCCTTGAAATGAACATGGGGGGAGGGGCAGAGAGAGAGGCCCAGACTCCAGAGCAGGCTCCAGGCTCCCAGCCGCAGAGCCTCCGTGCAGGGGCTGGAACTCACGAACCTGAGGTCATGACCTGAGTACCCACTGAGCCACCCAGGCGCCCCAAGGTCATCATATATTTTGGTAATCAAGTTTATTAAAAGTTTTTTTAGCTTTCGGCGCCTGGGTGACTCAGTTGGTTAAACCTCTGACTCTTGATTTCAGCACAGGCCTCAGCTCATGTTCAGTGGGATGGAGCCTTTCTTAGCTTCATGGACGTCATTGCATTTTTGTTTTGTGTTTTGCTTGCTTTGTTTTCGGTAATCTGTTTTCTCTGCGGGTGTCAAGGGTTTAGGAAACAGTACAGTGTACAGCCAGTTCCCTCTGAGGGGGTGTGGGAAGAGGGTGAAGGGAGGGGCGAGAGGGCGAGTAGCGTCCAGGAGCTACATTCAGATAACACTTCCCACTCGCTATGTGGTCTTGACAATATTATCCCACATCTCTGAGTCTCAACTTCTTTGTCTGAATTCAAACAAGAGTCTCTCCCGCCCACTTTAAGCAACATTGTGAGTTTGAAGATGAAAGTCTTTGAACACATGAGAGTCTTTTTTTTTTTTTCTATTTATTTATTTTGAGAGAGAGAGAGAACACAAACAGGGAAGGGGCAGAGAGAGAGGGAGAGAGAAAGTGCCAAGCAGGCTCTGTGCTGTCAGACAGACTCGGGGCTCAATCCCGCCAACTGTGAGATCATGACCTGAGCCAAAGTCAAGAATCAGATGCCCAACTGACTGAGCCACCCAAGTGCCCCTGAAAACACGAAAGCCGGGGTGCCTGGGTGGCTCAGTCAGTTGGGCGTCCAACTTCGGCTCAGGTCATGATCTCACGGTTTGTGGGTTCGAGCCCCATGTCGGGCTCTGTGCTGACAGCTCAGAGCCTGGAGCCTGTTTCAGATTCTGTGACTCCCTCTCTCTCAGAAATAAATAAAACATTAAAAAAAAAATTTGAAAACACGAAAGGCTTGAGTGTCTGCTTCGGCTCAGAGCGTCCTCAAACTGGCTCTCACCATGGCCTGGGTGTCAGACAAGACTAGAATTCCTAAGGCAGCAGGGTGACGTCTCCTGTCACCAGCTTCCTCCTGCGTGAGATGGAAGCAGAATCGTTTCTATCCAGATTAGTCGACATGCATTCAGCTACAGCTCCTGGAAACGTGGTTCCAAGTTGCTCAAACTCAAGGGAGGATTCATCAGCCGGCAGGAAAGTCCCGAGAAAGGGACCAGCTCCAGAGTTAATAGGATTCAGTCACTCAAAAATGTGCCGGGGGGGGGGGGGGGGGGGGGGGGGGGGGGGGGGGGTGGTGGTGGTGCTGGGTGGCTCAGCTGGTGAGGCGTCCGACTTCGGCTCAGGTCGTGATCTCGCGGTTCGTGGGTTCGAGCCCCGCGTCGGGCTCTGTGCTGACAGCTCAGAGTCTGGAGCTGCTTCGGATCCTGCTTCGGATTCAGTGTCTCCCCCTCTCTCTGACCCTCCCCTGCTCACGCTGTCTCTCTCTCTTTCTCAAAAACAAACATTTTTTTAAAAGTCACCAGGGACTCGCCTTCTCTCCACCTTCTGCTCTGCTGCCTGTGATGTGGATCCGCCTCAAACCAGCACCCGGTGGCGTGGGGCCGCGAGCGAGCGGCCATGGTCAGGACCACCGCAGCCGGCGGTTACCCCAGCGGGGGGTCCGCACCCGGGCGGGGGGTCCGCACCCGGGCGGGGCCGTGCCGGGAGAGCGGATCCTAGGCGTCGCCTTTGAACTTCGCTCGTAGAGCTGCTTTCGCAAGGTTGCTCTGGCGCTTCTCACTCGGCTCGGTGCTAACTGCCGGAGGGATTCCAGGCGGTCATGAGACCCTTCGAGAATGCGGCCGCGGGCACGTATTTGGGCCTTATCGGAACCGCGCAGGCAGCTTTCGGGGAGAAAGGTGACCATTTGTCTGCTCCTGGCGCTCGCAGCCGCTTCGCGTCCCGGTTCCGCGTCCAGGAGGGGGGGGGGCGGTGCTCCCCCTGCGGAACAGGACACTGTGCACACGCAGCAGTTTGACAATAAGTTCTATTTAAAAAATTCCACGAAACACTTCTCTATCAGACGGGCCTGAATTGGATTGCATCCTACCCAGAGACAGAGGCTACAGGGTATGATTTTGCTTGATTAGCTTGACCCTAAAGCACCTGTGACTCCCACTTTTTAAAGTGCAGGTGAGGGGCGCCTGGGTGGCTCAGTCGGTTAAGAGGCTGACTTCGGCTCAGGTGTGTGGGTTCGAGCCCCAGGTCAGGCTCTGTGCTGACAGCTCAGAGCCTGGAGCTGCTTCAGATTCTGTGTCTCCTCTCTCTGCCCTCCCCTGCTCACACTCTGTCTCTCAAAAATAAATAAACATTAAAAAACTAAAAAAAAAATAAAGTGCAGGTGACGGAACTGTCTCTCTCCTTCCCATGCACCCCCTCCCTGCACCTGAGATACATGGAGGAGGTGTGGAAATCTGGGGAAACCACTGACGAAGAGGGTGCATAAAAGCGCTCACAGCGTCCTCTATACAAGGTGACCAGATTTAGCGAATAAAAATACAGGATGTGGGGCACCTGGTGGTTCGTCGGTTAAACGTCCGACTCTTGATTTCCACTCAGGTCATGATGTCACAGTGGTGAGTTTGAGTCCTGCACTGTCAGTGCCCAGCCTGCTTGGGATTCTCTCTCTCTCCCTCTCTCTCTGCCCCATGTCCTCTCTAAATAAATACACTTTAAAAATATGTATACACGTTTACATATGTGTGTGCACAGTTCCATTTGTATTCAAAAGTTTTTAAATATTTATTTATTTTTAAGAGATAGAGCATGGGGCGCCTGGGTGGCTTAGTCGGTTAAGCGTACGACTTTCACTTAGGTCATGATCTTGCGGTTCGTGGGTTCGAGCCCCACGTCGAGCTCTGTGCTGACTGCCAGCTCAGAGCCTGGAGCCTGTTTCAGTCTGTGACTCCCTCTCTCTCTGACCCTCCCCTGCTCACGCTGTCTCTCTCTCTCTCTCTCCTAGAAATAAATAAAAAATATTTTAAAAAAAAGTTTAAAAAAAAGAGATAGAGCATGGCAAGTGGGGGGAGGGGCAGAGAGAGAGGGAGACACAGAATCTGAAGCAGGCAGGCTTCAGGCTGTGAGCGGTCAGCCCAGAGCCCCATGCGAGGCTCGAACCCATGAGCCGCGAGATCACGACTGGAGCTGAAGTCGGACGCTCAACCGACTGAGCCACCCAGGTGCACCTGGTTCTTCTTGTATTTAAAATAAACCACTTAGAATTTTTTTCAATAAGGATCAGCACATTTTTATACTAAAAAACAACTCATTTACCTGGAATTCAAATTTAACTAAATTGAATTGGTTAATTTAATTTGGCACTCAGTCTTTGCAAACCTTCTCACAGGTAGGAATCGCTTGAGAACCGGGTTAAAATGCACAGTCTGCCCGGGTAGGTTGGAGCAAGGCCTGGGATTCTGCATTTCTCACGCGGTCCCGGGTGCTGGGGTCTCGGCATGTGGGAGGTCCACATTTTGAGCGAGGGTCTGCGCTGCCTCATGGGGGTAGAGATGAGCAGGGAGCACGTTGGTTGGAACAGAGCACTCAGCTCTGTGTCCAGCCTGGGATGAAAACTCTAGAAGGTTGCTCATTATCATAATGAACATTGGAGACGTGTGTGTGTGTGTGTGTGTCTGTGTGTGTGTGTGTCTGTGTCTCAGAGATTGTACAACAGCTGCAAACCCTCCACATGCCCTGTGCCCTCAGCAGCTGTTCTGGCTGCCCCGTGGAGGAGGTATCATGGAGGGGGTCATGTGAGAGGTCTGTCGAGGGTGACAGAGTGGCAGCTGGTGCTCGCCCTGTGCACCCCGCATTTCCATAAGGACAGCAATGCTTGAGGCTCACATAGCGCCTCGTCCAGCCCGCCTTCATTCCCTCATTCCAACCCTGTACCAGACTCACGTGTGCACAGTGGTTTGGTCACAGTGATGTGATCCCAAATGGCCAAAATAGGGATTTCCTGGAAGGAGTCTGAAGGGACCCACTTGAGTGGAAGGGAGGGCTGAGCATTCAAACCGCAGTCAGGTCATTCGATCCCCACCTCCTTTTTTTTTTTTTTTTTTAATGTTTATTTTTGAGAGAAAGACAAAATGCAAGCAGGGGAGGGGCAGAGAGAGAGGGAGACACAGAATCCGAAACACGCTCCAGGCTCTGAGCTGTCAACACAGGGCACAACGCGGGGATCAAACCCACAAACCATGAGATCATGACCTGACCCAAAGCCAAAGGCTTAACCGACTGAGCCCCCCAGGCGCCCCTGGGCCCCCACCTCTTGTCTCTTGGCATATACTAGTGTCCATTTTCTCCGCCTGCAGACTGGCCTCCTCCCCATGGCGGGAAACAAGGCTGCCATCAGCTTCATCCCAGAGAGAAGACTCCCAAGGAAGGCGGCCGATTGTCCAGCTCGCGTCAGATGGCCACTATTTGTGTCCTTCTCCGCAAGCATGCTCAATTCTCTCTCCCTCCTCTCTCCCTTCCTGCACCATGTTATTCAGTCCCAGAGCTTTCGATCCATCTAGACGCCGAGGCATCTCTGAAGGGGAGCACTGCCGTTGTACGTGCTGTCTGACGTCTGAAAACCCTTTAGTCGTTAGGGTGGAGGAATCTCCCATAAGAAAGAAACCCATATGGTTTAGTCTGTGATAAATGCTGTAACTGGAGGGGCTTATGAACATCAGAAATTTCTTGCTCACAGTTCTGGAGGCTGGGAAGTCCACGGTCAAGGCGCTGGCACGGTCACCTCCTGGGCAGGGGCTCCGTTCTGGTTCATGGTCAGCTTCTCACTGCGTCCTCACGTGGTGGACAGGCTGTAGCCCCACGCTTTATGACGGCACATCATATGAGAAGCTTATTTCTTTTTCTTTTACTTAGAAAACTTTTCAGTGTGACAAAATACACATAGCACAACATTTACTGACCTAATCTGTAGTTCCCGTGGTTGTGCAACCATCAGGATCCATCTCCAGAACGCCTTTCATCTTGCAAAAGTCAATCTCGAGACTCACAAAACAGTAACCCTCCCTTCCGCCTGGCCCCCAGCCCCTGGAAGCCACCATCCTACTTGTCTCCACGAACGTGATTCCTCCAGGTACCTCCTGTAAGTGGAATCACACAGTCATTGTCTTTTTGTCTGATTTCACTTTGCATGGTATCCTCAAGGCTCACCCATGATGTGGTGTGTGCCACAATTTCCTTCCTTTTCGCGGCTGAGTAAGATTTCATTGCATGTGTAAACCACATCTTGCTTATTTATTTTAAACCACATTTTGCTTAATTATTTGTCAACGGCCATTTGTTTCCATCTTTTGTGACGAATGCTGCTATAAACATGGGTGGACAAATTAGACATTCATCTCTTTTTTGAAGGTGGGAAGATTTTATTTATTTTTAAATCTTTAGAGAGAGAGAGTGCGCAAGAGTGGGGGAGGGGCAGAGAGAGGGACAGAGGATCCAAAGCAGGGTCTGTGCTGATAGGCCAACAGTGGAGAGCTCCATGTGGTGCCAGAACTTAAGAACCACTGGGTCACGACCTGAGCCAGGTCGGGTGCTCAACCGACTGAGCCATCCAAGCACCCCTAGACATTTATTTCTGATGAGGTAACAACCTTGGGTGGGCATCGGGTACCGGGTTGTGGAGAATGTTTCCATGATATGGCTGTTGAGGGGCCCAGTTTTCTCGGGGCTCCATCATGCCTCTAGGACCTGGTTATTTTCTGTATCCAGCCAGCAGGAGCGAAAAGAGCACACAGCAAGCATGCTTTTTTTTTTTTTAATGTTTTATTTTTGAGAGAGAGAAAGAGAGAGAGAGAGAGCGAGCGCAGGGGAGGGGCAGAGAGAGGGAGACACAGAATCTGAAGCAGGCTCCAGGCTCTGAACTGTCAGCACAGAGCCTAATGAGGGGCTCGAGCCCATGAACCATGAGATCATGACCTAAGCTGAGGTTGGTTGTTTATGAGCCACCCAGGCACCCCAAATATGCTTGTTTTTAAGAGCTGTGGCCTGGAAATGGTCCATGTCCCTTCTGCCCCCATCCTAATGATGACAGCCAATCACAAGGCCGCACACAGATGTCGAGCTGTAGTCCCTGAATGGGAAACAGCACCTCCGGTCTATACTTTGAAAAGGAAGGGCAGGTTTTTGTGATCAGTGAGCCATCTCGACTGCAACACCATCCTGTGTTTTCGAAATACAGATCTCACCATTAGGTTCTCAGTTTGGCCAGCTGGGAGGGTGGAAGGGAAAGAGGGAGGAACCTCTGCCTTCCACTTGGCCCCCTCCAGGCCATTTCAGACACACGACAAATGATCTGATTCAGGGGAGCATGGATGAGTCTTACATTCAGGTTTCATGACGTAAAGCTCATACCCATGGTAATATCAATTCGTATTTAAAAATTTACCTTTGTGATATTTCTGAAGTGAGACACAGGCATATCTTACTACTTGCATGTACATTTAATACAGTGCTACCTTTTTTTCCTGAAAAGATGTTACTAGATCAGCAATGCACATGTTATGATTGAAGCAAGCTGAGAGTGAGGGTATACAGCAGCCACCACAGAAATAATAACGCTAATAAGTCAGGCTAATCACTAGCATTTTCACGGAGACCTTGCTATGACTCAGGTCCTAAATTAAGCAAGTTTGTACAGATTATTGAGGCTGTGAGAGGTGTTATTCAACAAGGGAATTGTATATCCCCATCTCTGACTCCCAAGTTCCATGACTGTTCCTCTTTTTTAATCCATCATTTATGGTTATTTATTTACTATTGGTGACTGTTTCAATGATGATGATAGTAAAACACTTATAAATAATAACGGTAAGTCATCTGCCACTGACGCGAGAGCCAGCCAAGTCGAGGGGGGTGAGGGGACGGGCAATGACCAGAGGGACTTGGCCTGCCAGCACTCTGTGGTGTAAACAATAATTTTAAAACATCTACTTATATGAGAACACTGAATTAACAGCTGACCTTCAGTGAGTGCTTCCTAAAGTGCTCGCCTCACTTGAGGGAAGTAGGTGAATCCTCAGCTGCTGGGATCAGTGGTCTATTATGGGAGGCAGTTCAGGCACGGTCAAATAGAGAAAGCGGGAGCGAGTCCACGGTGGGAGCCCAGGCTCTGCATTCTGCGCGTGTGACTTTCAGCAGGTGCCTTGAGCTCTCTGCCCCTTGTTATCTGCAAAATGGGAATAGGTTATTAACGGAACCTGTGTATGCAAAGCCCTCGCAGGCACATAATGTGTTATTATCCCCTTAAAAGGGAGGACACCGAGGCCAGTGCCTGGGGACAGGGAGCCCTCTCAGCTTCAGGGTTGGCTCCAGGTGAAACCTGAGACCAGCGGTGCCCTCTCCCACCAGAGGGCAGGGACCCAGGGAATGACGGGGCTGGCCGCCTGGCTTGGCAGGTAGCAGGTGCACTAAGCGAGCGCACTGGTGGGTCTTGCCTTGGGGGCAGCAGGTTCCCCCGCCGCCAGCGCCACCCTAGAGATTCGCCCCGGGACGCTAAGTGGGCTCAGTCGCGGACACCGGGCAGGGCTCGTCAGGGCTGTGCCTCGGAGCTGCCTCTGCGAGCGGACGCCGCCACTGCCTCGAGCCCCGGCACGGAACGGGTTACGATGATAGAGACGACAGGAGGACCTGGGGTGGCACGAGCGGCCCTAGCCGTCACTCTCCCCCACACCTTTCAGCCCCAGGCTGGCGCGGAGCTCCGACGGCGCAGGCGCGAGCGCCGGGTGCCGGGTTGGGGGGGGGGGGCATCTCCCGAGACACCCGGAAGTCTCCGCCTAACGGGCCGGGCCCGCGCCTCCTGTCCTGGAAGGGGGCGGGGCCCGAAGCCCCTCGGCGCACGGCGCCATAGAGCGGGGACGGAGGACCCGTGTCCTAGACGTGTCCGGAAGTGGCTTCCAGGGGCCTCCGCTCCGTACCATAGAGCTGGGGGGGCGGCGGCTAGGGGGTCGCCGGGCTCGTCTTCCTAGAGCGGCAAGGACGGGGTGGAGGCCGGAGGGGGGTGGGAAGGGGAGGGGGAGCAGCGCGGGCGGAAGCGGCCTGGAAGGTCACTTCCGGCCTGGGCGCCCGTCCCCCTGACCCCAGGGTCTGAGTCGCCGCTGCCGCCGCTGCCACCATCCGCGAGGGAGGAGAGAGGAGGAGTGCGGCGCGGCGGCCCCGGGACCGAGGAGGTGAGGGGAGGGCGCGGGGGCGGGGGGCGTGAACCTAGGGCCGGGTGGGCGCGCGCTTCGGGGAGCCGGGCTGCGGGCGGGGGGCGGGCGGGGAGGCGGGCGGGCGAGCGCGACTGGGCGGGAGAGTGCGCGTGCGCGTGCTGGGGGGGCGTGAGTGGGCGCGCGGCCGGTGACGCGGGCGGGCGAGGGCGCGCCAGGCGGAGCCGCGGGGGGCGCGCGTGCGCGGGGCCGCGCCGGGGAGGGAGCGCGCCTGCGCAGCGCCGGGGCTCGTGTTGGGGGCTGGGGGCTCGGGGGTGGGGCCGCCGCAGCTTCCCCGGCAGGTCGTGGCCGGAAGTGGTGGTGATTCCCGGGGGAAGTTGAGGCCCCGGTGGGGGAAGGGGACGCGCGGGCTGAGCTGGCCTGACCGGAAACGGCAGCCCGGGGGGCGCGTCTGGGTCCCCGGGCTGACCACCCCCACCTCCTTCCCCTTTTCAGAGAAGCCTGGGTTCCGCTGCTGCCCCGGGCGGGCTGCGTGCGGCCTTTGATCCGACCGGTGATTAGGGCATTCGCCCGGCGGGAGGCTCATTCATTCGCCCCGGCAAGGGCGGCGGGCAGGAAGCGCGTGCGCCGCAGGGGAAGTGACTGGGCCAAGGTCAGGCACCGCGTGGCCCGCGGGACAGGGGCGGACGGTGGCCGGGCCCGAGGCCGACTCCGAGGCCTCCTGGGCGCCAGCTGTGCTGCTTTATCCCCGAGACCCAGTCTCGGCCGCAAGGGAGGGACACCCCAGGTCCTGGAGATACGTGCCTCTGGCCCTGTGGGGTCAGGCATGCTCGGGATGGCGGCCTCACGCAGTGACCCACAGGCCCTCCCAGTGCCGACCCCGTGCTGGGCGCCAGGGCAGGGAGAAGAGCAAGGTCCTGGAGCAGGAGGGCAGAGTCCCTACCCAGAGCTCTTATCAGGAGGTCGGGAGGGCTGTGGGAGCCCAGGGAAGGCATCCCTACACAGCCCAGTCCAGGGGGTTTCAGGAAGGACGTGACTTGGTGTGTGGTTTCCTGGTGCCAGGCCCCGTGCTGGGCAGTGCCGGGGATCCAGTTGGGAGTCCCAGCTGGCCTCTGCTCTGGGGACGGGGCGCACAGTTGCTGTTGATCCTGGCTTATCTCCTCTGTAAGGCTGTAAGCCTCTTTGGCTAAATGCAGCTGTCATTCACCTGCCCGCCTCTGCTGTAGTCTCCTCTGGTCCTCTGGCCTTCTGTCTCTGCCCTGCTGACGCTCAGATCGGATTCCGGCTTGTGTTATCTCATGTTTTAGTTTTTTCCTTGGAAGCCTTCCAGATCCATCCCCATCCCCACCCCACCCCAGCCCACCTGAGGACCTGGAGCAGGGCTTGTCACCATGCCTGGCCATGAGCCTCACTGTGGCCAGCTAGTTAAGAGCTCTGCTGGGGTCAGACAGACCAGCGTTTCACAGCCCAGCTCCACATCTCGTATTTTGTGATTTTACAGCGTACATGAGTGTAACATCTCAGTTTCTGCGTGGAAGAAGTAGAATGTTAATAATAGTATTGATCTTAGTAGGGAAGCTTTTAGTGTTTTTTATTAAAGTGAGAGCAAACCTCAGAGAGGTGACTGTAAACTCTGGGAAGGGCTCTGGGGCCAGGCATTCCCAGGCCTGGCCTTGCCTCCTGTCTCTTCCATTCTGGTGACCTTGGACCTGTCACTTCCCGCTTTCATGCTCCACTTCCTCCTTTCCCCTAGGACGACAGCACAGCCCAGCTTTCCCTGGATAAGCCTGGCTATGTGCGGGGCCCATGGGCACAGTGCTCTGCTGTGGGGTGGGAGAGAGGAGGGTCCCTTGGCACCCCTTTCTTGAGGCTCCCCTGGCCCAGACTCAGAGCCGGGCAGCACTGGCAGTTGCTGTCCCACAGCAGCTTGGAGACCTGCTGGGGAGACACACACAGAAGCAGCAGACAGAGGGCCGGGGGAGTTTCCCAGAACAGCCCCCGGGAACTGTAGAAGCCCAGAGGAGGCATGTCCTCGGGAGGGTGGTGTGTCCAAGTCTTGAAGGATGGGGAGGGAGGCTCCGAGGACCCCGGGACTCCAGGGAGGATGATGATGAGCTCCCTCGGTTGTCCTCGGTGCTGCCCAAGGCTGGGGGTCAGCCACGGCCCTGCCCTCTGGGTGGAGACAGACTGAATTTGCGGGCACTTGCTTTCTGAGTGCTTGGCAGGTGTCTGGGCCTGGGCCTGCACCTAGTACTCACTGTTCCGAGCTCTCAGGGGGTTGGCTACCCTGGAGTCGCGGTGAGGGGTCGAGCCCCAGGCCCCACAGCCACATGGGAGCACCAGTCTGTGCGTGATTCCGGGGCTTTCCCTTCGCCTTCGTGCCACCACCTCTTGGCCAGGGTTGGGTCTGGGGAGATAAAGGTACTGTGAAGGCCTCTTAGGTACCTGTCGTCGAGGTGGGGATTCTGGTCTTCCTCTGCCACAGGTGTGTGGTCACGGTTCAGGGTATGCGAGACCCAGCTTTTCGTGTCAGGTGTGTGACTCAGACGCTAATAGCGGCTTTGTTGCAGTGGCACAGAGAGCTGTCGCCTCAGGACCACTGAGCAGCCGGCCACCCCGAGCCTGGGCGGGTGGCCCAGGACCTTGGGCTGCTCTTCCGGGCTGCCTGGGGAAGTTAAGGAAGCCAGGGCTGGAGGAGTCTGTGCGCCTCGACTTCATGGCTTTGTGACGATGGGTCAGCCACAGAACTTGCGTGAACCCCAGTTTTAAGAGTCCTCGTCAGGGGTCACGAGGCACGTACTGGGTGTCTGGCTTCTTGTTGAGCTCTTTACTCCCATCGTCTGCTTTGATCTTGATGCAGGACTCACGAGGGTGAGGAGGCCCGCAAGCTGAAGCACCTTGTTCAGGGTCACGTGGCTGGTGGGTGGTGGGGCTGATTCTGACTCTGGCAGCCTGCCCAGAGACACTGTCCTCTGCTCTGCTGGTGGTTGTGGGGATTAGGATTATGAACCCACAGCACCCTGCGCCTGGGGTCTGAGATGTAGTGTGCTTGGTGAGTGGGATCTTGTTACTATTACTTGAAAAGAAGACAGTTGACCTAAGGGAAGGGAGGAGTCTGGGAAGCCTTCCTGGGGGAGGTGCTACTTTTGCCAGGCCCCAGCAAGTCTGCAGGTAGGATGTGGGCAAACACGCCTGCTAAAGAATGGGGGTCTGGCCCACTGGCCTGTTTCTGACGGGTGACACAAAGGTGGCCTGTAGGTGTACTTGCATCTTTTTTTTTTCTGCCTTGGAGAATATTTTTGTTTGTTTAAGCAGTTTTTAGTTACTTGCTGAGATTTAAGACTCAGGAGTATTCACAGACCTCATTGAAGATCTGAATGCTGGACATTCCTGGATGGGGAGGATGGGGGTGGCGGCAGGTGGCCTCACGTCCCCCACCCGCCTGCCGCCATAACAGAGCAGGGAGGTTCTAGGAATTCCAGAAACTTTGTTCTTGGACATAGCCGGGAGTGGTGACTCGGACTTCTGGAGTTTGCCGCCGGCCGGGGCCCCTGGGAGGGCCCGAAAGGATTGGAGGCCGGGGTGCTCGGTGCCCCTGAGGGTGGTGGCCAGTCCAGACAGGAGGTGGACGGAAGCGGCCGAGCCATGAGGTAGGCTCCCTGGGAGGCAGTCCAGGAAAAGGGGAAGACGGCGGGGTGGGGGGGAGGGGACAGAGGAGCGGGAGCGAAGGGGACTGCTTTGCTCAGCTCTTTCTGAGCGCCCTGGAGAACCCGGATGGGGCGCGGGTTCCGTTCTGCGTGACTCGGCCCACGCAGGTAAGGCAGAGAATCTGGGCAGACCAGTCGTGGTGGAGGCAATGGGAGATGTTGACAGCTCCCTGTCCCCACGGAAAAGGGCTTCTCTTTCCCATGGTGCCGCAGACTTTGCCTCGGTGTTCAGACCTCAGGGGAGAGCCTGGCAGGCCCCGCTGTGGGGGCCCGAGGTGGTCCAGGTGGGGGCAGAGGAGGGAACTCGTGGGTTTTCAGGCCCAGAGTGAGGGGTGAAGCCACTCACAGAAAAGGGAAGTGGGTAGGAGCTGGTGAGAGCGGAGGAGTTTGCCTGCACCGCCCCCTGGCCCGAGAGGGGTCTGGGGTCTGAGCGGCCCGCGCGGAGTCAGGGACGTGAGCACCACGCAGTCCGCAGGACACGGTTCAGGTGCTGGTGCCCGGCCAGGTGATCCGGGCCCGGGCCCGGGCGGTGACACATGAGTGCACCCTGGAAAGCTGAGAAGGGGCAGGGCGGGCAGGCGGAGGCCAGGCCGCAGGCGGGGGTGGGGGGTGGGGGGCGTGAGGGGCCGGTGGGGCGAGGTGGGCGCATGCCTCGGGGTAGTGGCGGCGGGGCGGTGGCCGGAGTCCTGTCGGACGCGCGCCCCCCCCCCCCCCACCGTGCACGGTTGGGCGGTGCCCCGTGTGCTCAGGTAGGTGCGCCCTGTGCCCCAGAACGTGTTGCGTCATCTCAGAAAGAGGCCCCCCCCCGTCCCGTCCCCTGGAGTCCCCAACCCGCGTCCTGTCTCTGCGTTCGCCGTCCCGGGTGTCTCACGTGAGCGGGCCCGCCTCGTGCGTGGCCTCCTCACGCAGCCTGACGGCCTCTGGCTCTTCGGTGAGGCGCACGTGACAGGCTGGCGTTCTGTCGCGTGGCCGGACCCTAGTCTGTGTGTTCATCTGTCGACGGCGGCTGGGTTGTGTCGGTTGTTGGCCCGCGTGGCCTGCGCCCCCGTGACTGCGGTGCGCGGCGCGCTCGTGCGGACCGTGCTCCCCGCTGCCGCGGTTCCGGCCGGGGCTCCGGGCCTCGCCCTGCTGGCCGCTGGTGTCTGCAGCGCGGCTGCCGCCTGCCTGCCCAGCCGCAGCGCGGGTCCCGCTGTGTGCCTGTCGCCAGCTCTCGTCCTGCTTCCTTCCCGTGCGCTCTGACACCGTGGGGCCTCGTTGTGACGCAGGGGGGCCGAGGGTCCCGCACGCTGCCCTCGGCGCTCTACGGAACGTCTCCGCTGATCTGGCCCGACTCGTCGGGCTGTTTGAGTTGGGTGACTTAGCCAAATTGGTCTGTGGTGTGCGGAGCAGACTTGGAAGGGCTGCTGGGGGGGAGTGGGACTGGGAGGCAGGGTGAGGGCGGACAGCCATGTCCGAGGTGGCTGGACCAGGCGCTCTGGAAGGGGAGGTGTGAAATAGCCCCCGGATTTGGTGACCCAGAGGCTGGGGGGAGTGGTTGGAGAAGGGGTGGAGGTCCGGGCAGCACGGGGAAAGTCGCAGCTCAGCTTTGAGGGAGGAGAGGGGAGGGCCGGGAAGTGGGGGTGGGAGGCAGGGGGGTGTCCTGGAACGAAGGGCCCAGGCAGGGTGCGGGTTCAGAAGGGGTGGTTTGGAGCTGCCGGCCCAGGGGAGGGGAGGCGGTGAGATTGGCAGTAGAAGAAAGAGAGGGGCTAATTGGTGGGCTGGCATCCAGAGCTGGTGGGCGGGATCTCATAACAACAATAATAACAATAATTTGTCTGAACTTCATAGCAGCGGGCCCTGTCTGCCCCCGTGCTAATTGGATCGCTCAAGGGCCCAGCTCCAGTGGGCTGGGGGAGGCCCGTTCGTTCTTCATCTTCAGGAGTGGAGGTCAGAGCTGGGCGAAGCCACAGGCTGTGGGGAGAAATTGGGGGCACTGGGAGCACGGGGAGGGGAGGCGGGGCCTCCAAAGGTGTCACAGTGCAGAGTCTGCCATCCTCCTCAGCAAGAAGGAGGTGGGTCAGGGGCTGCAGCCCTTCCCCCACAACTCTGAGATCCTGGGTGTGGGACCCACGGGCCACAGGCCACCAGAGTCTGATTGGAGGCCTCAGCAGCTCCTTGAGTGAATGAGTGGGTGAGTGAGTGAATGAATGAGTGGGTGAATAGGCAAATAAATGAGTGAACAAATGAGTGAGTGAGTGTATGAGGGAGTGAATGAGTGGGTGAATGAATGAGTGATTGAGTGAATGGGAGAGGAAGGGCCTGGTGTAGTGAACACCCTAACTCTCACGAGGACCCCCAGCTCCTCCCTGCCTCCTGTGCTCAGCTGACGTCTCCTGGCCCTGGGGTGCCTGCTGGTTGTCCTGGGGAGGATCACAGTGCAGGGCTGTGGCCGGGAGGACCCAGCTTCCAGGCCAAGTGCAGCACTGTGGGCCGTGGCCCCAGCCCGATGGTTTGCTTAAATCCCCCGGGAGGTAGGGGCGCCTGGGTGGCTTAGTCGGTTAAGCGTCCGACTTTCGCTTAGGTCATGATCTCACGGTTCGTGGGTTCGAGCCCCGCGTCGGGCTCTGTGCTGACTGCGAGCTCAGAGCCTGGAGCGTTTCAGTCTGTGTGACTCTCCCTCTCTCTCTGACCCTCCCCTGCTCACGCTCTCTCTCTCTCTCTCTCTCTCCTAGAAATAAATAAAAAATATTAAAAAAATAAATAAATAAATCCCCCAGGAGGTGTTGCAACCCGGGAGTGTGCCCTGTGCCCGGCTGGCCTCTGACCGGCAGCTCTGGGAGGCCTCCTGACCCCTCAAAAGTCAGAACAAGATGGTGCATCTTTTTTTTTTCTTCCTTTTTTTTTTTTCTTTTTCTTTTGAGAGTGAGCCAGCACGTGCAAGCTGGGGGAATGGCACAGAGAAGGGAGAGAGAGAGAGAGGGAGAGAGAAAGAATCCCAAGCAGGCTCTGTGCTGCCAGCAGAGAGCCCAGCTCAGGGCTCGTACCCACCAACTGTGAAATCATGACCTGAGCTGAACCAAGAGTTGGGCGCTTGGCCGACGGAGCCCCCAGGCGCCCCAGAAGATGTACTTTTGTCCTTCCAAGGCCTCTATAAAGTTGTCTGTGAAAACGTGGTTTTCTGCCGTGTTTGGATTAACGCCGAGCGCCTGGCCAGGGCCTGTGTGACCTGTATGCGCTCTGGCCTCCTTGCCTCTAATGCGTCATCTGCCCCCAGGGCGGGCTCCATAATTTTTGGGACTTTGCAAAGTGAAGAGATGAGCCCCTGAGCAAAAAAGCAGGAAAAAAGCTTTTTCTTTTCTTCCGGGGTCTCTTGCCCAGGCAGGGTGATTTCATTTGTACTTCCTGTTGTGCGCCCTCCACACGGAGATGCCCCCCGGAGTGCAGCGCGCACCCTCTCGGCCCAGGTTTCTCGGGCACAGGGTGGCCCGACTTCATGGCCCGGTGCGCACCCCCTGCCCCATCACACTCGATGTGCAAACACACATGCAGAGAAGACTGCTGGGGTTTCGGGGCGGTGCCCAGCTCAGGGCCTCCTGACCGGCACCCCTGCGAGGCCCCTCGGGCACGCGCCCCCGGCCCCCTCTCCTTCCCGCGGGAGGCAGAGCACCTCCAGACCCTGCCTGGGAGTCTGGGCAGCCCTTGTTCCCTTACATCAGGGTTGGCAAACATTTTCCGCAACATGCCAGAAGGTAAATATTTTGGGCTCTACAGGCCAAGGAGCAAGATCGACGACATGGTGTCGCTGCTTAGACAGGGTTTAAAGGGTGCCGGTTAAACACCCAGGTGAAACCTTTTGTTAGCAGCAGCAGCGGACCGTGACCTGGTCCAGTCTGTCCCACAAAGAGAGGCCTTTGCCAGCGGTCTGTTGGGGAGGGAAGAGCTTCCTCGGCTCCCTTCGGGTTTCCCGCTGTGACTAAAACACACTAATGGGGGAAAAAGCACACGGATTGTGTTTCCACAAACACGGAAGTCCAAGCAAGCGAAGCGAAGACCCGGAGAAGTTTGGAGGCCGAGGTGCCTTGGGGCGGTGGCCGCAGCCCCGGGGGGACTGGAGGAGAGAAGGGTACGTTAGGGGGTCCGATTATACACACCTCCTTCCCTGGGCTCTGAGAGAAGGATGCCCTTTCTCCTGGTCCATGGAGGGCACTTTGCCGTGTGGGTTTCATCTCCTTCCAGGAAGCAAGGTGGCCTTTGTGGGGGGAGGTGGCCCTGAGGGAGCCCCGCCCTCTCTCCCTTCGCATGGAGCCCCCCGTGTGTCCCCCAGCTGGCTCCCTCACCGCCTCCATGTGGGCACCGGGCACCAGGTCTGAGGGACCGCCCGCTGGGCGCTTGGGAACCTCGCTGGGCCGCGCCCCTCCCCCCCACCCCCCACCTCCTGGCTCGTGCGCCCCAGAGCCTGAGGGTTCCCTTGGCGGGGGAGGACGACGACAGGCAGGAAGGGGACAGAGTGAAGCCTAGGCCTTCTCGCTGCCGGAAGCTGGCCTGTGGGGAGGCCCTGGGGGAGGCCAGGGCTGGGAAGTCCCTGCTGTCGGCGACTGGCGCGTTAATTCAGGGGAAGCACAGCTTTCGGAGCTCCAGCGTCTGGAGGAGGGAGCGGGCTGGCCTGCAGCCGCCTCCGCAGGCCCACGGCCCGGGGGCGCTTACTGCCCCTTCTTGTGGCTTACCTCACTCTTCTTGAGGACAAACTTGGCTTTATTAAGTGGTTCGTGAGTGGGGGAATGTTTCATTCAGCGAGTAGGGAGCCGCTCCTTTTTTTGTTAGTGTTTGTGTTTTCAGGGTTTGTGCCCTTGTTATCAGGGGGCCCTTATGTTTTTTGAAGTCTGTCTTATTTTTTAAATTTGATTTGTTTTTGAGAGAGAGGGCCCTAGAGATCATGAAGGGCAGAGATCATGAAGGGCAGAGATCATGAAGGGCAGAGATCATGAAGGGCAGAGAGAGGGGTACCCTAGGCAGGCTCCGCACCGCCGGCGAGGAGCCCGACGTGGGGCTGGGACTCACGAACTGTGAGGTCACGACCTGAGCCAGTCAGTCGGACACTCCACCGACCTAGCTGCCCAAGGGCTTTGAGTCTCTTTTCTTTTTAATTGAGGTATAACTTAACATCTCCTAACGTGCAATTTAGTGGTTCCTAATCTGTTCACAGAACGTGGTGCAGCCGTCACCATGGTCTCATTCCAGAATATTCTCAGCCCATAAAAAGCCCATTAGTGGTCCCTCTCCGCCCCCAGGCCCCTGGCAGCCAGTCCTCTCTGTCCTGGACGATGTGCATAGATGCAGCCTGCTGTCCGCGCCCGGTGTGGCCGCCGTCTTCCTCTGGGGTGTGTGCTGTGCAGGGCACTGCCTGAGCTCTCGTGGGCGAGACCGCGTGGGGACTCGTGCTTTGTGTCTCGTGGGTGGACGCCTGGGAGCAGAGTCGCGGGTCACAAGTGAGCCTGTTTACCATGTGAGGAGCTGCCAGCCTGGTCTGCAGCGGCCACCCGGCCTGCACGCCTGTTGGCCCAGCGCCAGGGCCTGTGGCTTCGCTGTTACCCTGTGTGACCCGGGGGCCACCCGGCTGCATCCTCTTTGCCCCTTCACCACCCAGCAAGGGTCCCATCAGCATGCATGACAGCTGTCCCAGGAAGGAGTCCGCTTTTAGTCTTTTCCTGGTTACAGAAATAATTACCTGTTAACATTAAAAAAAAATGTTGAGAAAATGAAGATAAACAAAAAGAAAAAAGTTAAAATTGCTTGTCTGCTCTCCGCAGCGGGTGTCACGACTATTGTTTGTGAAGCTGTGACATCTGTGGGATTTGTAAAAAAATTTTTTTGGGGGGGGGGCACCTGGGTGGCTCAGTCGGCTAAGCGTCTGACTTCGACTCAGGTCACGATCTCATGGTTTGTGAGTCTGAGCCCCGTGTTGGGCTCTGTGCTGACAGTTCAGAGCCTGGAGCCTGTTTCGGATTCTGTGTCTCCCTTTCTCTGTGACCCTCCCCTGCTAATGCTGCCCCTCTCTCTCAGAAATAAATAAAACATTAAAAAAAAACCTTTTTAAGTGTTTATTTTTGAGAGAGACAGAATTTGAACATGGGAGGATCAGAGAGAGGGAGACACAGAATCTGAAGCAGCTCCAGGCTCTGAGCGGTCAGTACAGAGCCCGACACAGGGCTCGAACCACCAACCGTGAGGTCATGACCTGAGCCGAAGTCGGATGTGTAACCGGCTGAGCTGCCCAGGCGCCCTGCTGTGGGATTTTTTTAAGCTCTCCCACGCGATGCTGATGGCTTCTTTCCAGTGTTTCCCCTGCTTTGAGCCTGGCTGTGATGAACTTCTGTTTCCCTGCAAGAAGCATTTTCCAAGGTTTGGGTTTTCCCCTCCAGCTCGTTTCTGGAGAAGGGGTGACCTGGCCAGGGGCTACGGGTGCCTGTTGCGGCCACAGCCCAGCGGCCCGTCCGTGTGTCAGCCTGGTTTCACCTGAGCGGCGTGTAGGGCCACGCTCCCGGCTGGGGCTTGCCTCCGGGGGGCAGTCTGTCCTCCCTGCGGGGTCGGAGCGGTGGGCGGGCAGGGGGACAGGATTGCAGGCTGTTTGTCCTTGGGCCCTTTGGTCTCTTCACGCCCGTTCAGACCGCGTGTCACGCACCTGTTCTCGTCCCCCGTCAGCACCTGGCGGGGTTGGGGGTGCTGGGCACCTTGTGGGTCTCAGTGGGGCAGATGGGGAGGAGATGGCACAGGCAGACAGGTCGGAAGACTGCTGGGGCCTCCCTTGTCTCCACACCCTCCCGGATCCTGGGAGGCCCTGTGGCGTTGTGCGTGCCGATTGCATCCTGGCTGCCCTCCATCCGTGCTCCTTGCTGTTGCTGCAGGGCACCTCTGGGACGTGGCGCCCCTACATCTGTGAGCCCCAGTGTCATGGTGTCCATCTGACGGGGATCGCCGTTTCAGAGAACTCCTTAATCCTCCATCTGGCCTTCCAGGTCCTGCAAGAGCATCCTCCCAGCCCTGCATCTCCAGCCTCGGGGCCTTTGCACTTGCCGTCCCTGACACCAGCCACCAGCGTCCCTTCCCTTCCGCGCCACGCTTCTCCTGCGGCCCCTCCTCCTGGGAGATCCTCCTCTGGCCCCTCGCTGCCACTGCCCGTCCCTCCCTGCCCCCCGTGTGTGTTTTCACATCTCACTCATCTGCTTGTCTGTCACTGGCAGGGACCTCCCACGAAGCCTGGGCTGTGGCCTGTTCACCACCCTTTGCCTGTGGGGTGGGGGTGGCAGGCACAGGTGGGGAGGAAGGGATTGTGCCCCCGGGCACATGCCACCCCTGCAGAATGGCTGCTTTTCCGCCGTGTCTTCTCGTTAGTCCGATAAGTGTCTGTGTGGCAGGGGAGCCTGTGATCAGTCAGGCAGGTGCCTCCGGGCCACAGTGGGCACTGTGACCAAGCGTGGGGGCGAGAGCCTGCACGGGGCACTGTCTGTTGACCTGGCCCGACCCTGTGGTGGCTCCCTTTCGGGGTTGGGGGCACAGTGGTCCTGAGAAGGCCTGGGCCTGGGCTGGGGGCTCCGACCTGGGGCTCCTCACTGCCTTCCCCCAGCGCCTCCGAGGCAGCTGCTTTCCATCCCCTTCCTCGGTATCCCGTCCCCCCTCCCCTCCTCTCCTCCCCCAGGCGTGTCTTGGTCTTTGATTATGTCCTGTGTTCTTAGAGGTTCCTTGTGACGATTGCTTGGGTGTCGGGAAGGCAGAGGAGTCGGGACCAAGGGCTCTGTGGCCACACTGTGGGTGTCCTGTCCCTGCTCCCTGGTGACCTCCACTGTGACAGGGGGTTGCTGGTCGTTCAGAGCGTGTCCGTGCAGGGTGATGTGGAGCCGGAGCTGCTGGGCGGAAGGCTCACGGGAGTCTGAGGCTGCTCCGCGAGTGGGCGTGTCTGTCGCATGCCACTTTGCAAGCCCCTCCGGGCAGGGCTGGGCTGCCCTGGTCTTGAGGACCCGGCCCGGGCCTGCGTGTTTGCAGTTCTCTGCATGTGTGTGCTGTTTGCCTTCAGATTGCTGCCACTCCTGCCTCAGTTTCCGCATCTGATGATGGGGTGACCGTGTTGCCTACTCAGGGCGTTGATGGTGTCTGCACCACGTAGAACAGGCTGGGGCGATGTGTCTGCGTGTCTGTTGGCAGGGCGGGCAGACTGTCTGGGTTCCTCTCAGACGTCAGTAGAGACAAGCGCCCTGTGGGTGGGGGTCTGGAGACCAGTGGGTCGTGCACGTCGCGATGAGGTGTGCGGTGCTGGGGTGCGGATGGCTGCCGTTCCCAGACGCTGTCTGCAGGCGCTGACCTGCGAGGTCCCGTGTGGGGTGGGGGCTGCAGGACCCCATGGCGGTTTTCTCAGAGCTGCGTGCACTCACCCTAAGGCAGCAGCTCCTCTTTGTTTGGGACCCAAGGGCCCCACAGCAGAAGAGGAGCCCCTTGAGGACCCAGCCGATGGTGTCTGGGCCGCACGTCCTGCACACTGCAGGCTTCCTGCCGCCAAGCGAGGCCACACCAGGGAGCCAGTCCGGGCGGCCGGGTGCCTGACTGGGTCTCCCACCTGCCCACCCAGTCCAGGGCACAGGGCAGACCCCTGCCCAGCTCCTTTGCTCAGTGCAGCAAGGAGGCCCTAGGGGGCAGGAAGAGGCGGGGGGGGCTGTCTGGCCGCCCCTCTGAGTGCAGGTACCCCGGGGGGTTCAGCTACTTTCCCCCAGGACCCGATGTGGACTCTGTCTTGGTTCATGCACGTTTGCAATCGCAGAAGGTGACCCCGTGGGTGACTTGTGTGTCCGAGTCAGCCTGCTTCACTGTTATGTTGGGTGCAGGCCCGGTGATTGGCGGGGGGTCTTGGATGGAGGGCTTCCTCGCTGTGGGCCTCCTGACACGTCCAAGGCGGTGATTAGGTGCCGGGCGGCGATGGAGGCCAAGGTGGGAGGTGGCGGGAGGTGGCGTCTCACCCTGCGGAGCTGGGACCCGAGCCTGGCTGGGCGGCTGCTCCCCCCAGCTTGTGCCTGGCCTTGGGCCGGTCCCCGTGCAGGGTCCCTCAGTCACCTGCTGCCGTGCGCCCTCTGTCTGCCGGGGCCACGCTGGAGCATGGATCGGGGCCGATGTGGCACCTGGCGTCCTGTAAACTCTGCTTTCCGTCTCCTCTCTCCTGACAGGGACCCACCATGGAGCTGCGGGAAGAGGCCTGGTCTCCGGGGCCGCTGGACTCCGAGGACCAGCAGATGGCCAGTCATGAGAACCCAGGTGAGGCGGCCTTGGGCCGTTCTTCTTGGCCGGCCCATCCCCTTCCTGGACCCTGGCTCCCTCCACCTCCCCTCCCTTGGCTCTGGGAGCCCCTGGGGCCGCTGTTCTCCGTCCCTCCTCCTGCCCCCTAGGCCCGGCCACCCCGCCCCCAGCAGCCCGGCCACGCTGCCCTGTTTCTAGGTGGCCTGCACTTCTCCCAAGCAAGGGACCGTAGACTAGGGGCGGGCGTGACGGGGCTGGGGGCACTGTGACATGGAGCTGACGGGCCTGCAGAGGGGGTGTTGTGCGGCTTCTCGGGGAAGGCTGGGTGTCTGGGTTTCTATGGGGATCTTTCACTTTTAAGCACCGGTACCATGTTTCATTTAATAAACCATTATTTGGGTTCAAGAAAACTCTTTTTTGAGCACGTGGGGCCCAGGGTTTGCTTGCCGAGACTGCGCACCCGGGAAATGAAGCACGGACGTTCTTCTCGTGCGCCCGGTGAGGTGGTTTGGGCCCGGGCTGTGCCGGTGAGGGGTCAGCAAATGGCTTTTACGGAAAGAGCCAGAGGGGAGATACGTTTGGTTTTGCAGACCCTGTGTCCGTGCAGCGGGGGAGCAGCCAGACCGCACGGAAGTGAGTGCGTGAGACCGTGTGCTGATAAAGCTTTGTTTGTAGAGCAGGCGCTGAGTTGCCACCCCTGTGCCAGCATGCCGTGGTGGCCGGGGCAGGGGTGGTGCGGGGCCGGCCACACACGGGACAGATGTCATCGTCCTGCCGAGGGCCTCCTCCTGCCCCTTTATTCCAAGATCCTCCGCAGGAGAGGAGAGCTTCCTGCTGGCCGCCGGGGTGGCCTTGGTTACAGAGCAGGAAGCCAGGTCACGGGGCCTCCGTGCCTCCTCTGATCCAGCTGCCCCTGTGGCGAGGACCTGTGCCTGTCCTTCCCCGGTGTCCCCCACCCCCGGGCCGGCCCCCTCCTTCCCCTGACCTACGTTTTTGCCCTTCCAGCCCCCCACCCCTTTTTTTTTTAGTTTATTTTGAGAGAGAGTGAGTGAGAGGGAGGGAGGGGCAGAGAGAGAGAGAGAGAGGGCCCAGGCAGGCTCCACGCTGACCCAATGGAGCCTGGCACGGGGCTTGAATTCATGAACTGAGAGATCATGACCTGAGCCGAGATCGCTCGGCCTGCAGTCACCAGGGGCCCCAGTCTGCTGGCCCTCTTAAACTTAACTGGAAAGCCTGTTTTATTGTGGAAATTTCAAACATCTGTGGTGTAGTGACTTGATTTCTCCTAGGCTCCAGCGATCAGAGCCCCTCGTCACTCTTTTGTCCCACTTGTGCCCTCTTGTCCTGCTGGAGCAGCTTGTAGAAAATTCTAGCTGCTGTAGCATTACACCTGTAAGTTCCCAGAAGGGCAGGCCCTTTAAGAGCACAGACAAAGCAACAGTGACACAATGCTGACCTCACCTAACAAAACACCCAATTCCTGTCCAAATACCCCGTTTTCTCCAGAACATGCATCTGCCTTCAAGTAAGTAAGTTTTAATATTATAAGTCATCCGTTAATTCATTGTCTTTATAAAACCTTGCACGCGTACAGGTGGGCTCTCCCATCCCCTTGTCCAGCCGGCTGTCCTGAGCCTGCACTCCCCATCCCCCACTGCGCATCCCCACCTTGTGACACTCCAGGCCCCCGGCAGGCTGGTTGCTTGCCCTGAGGCCCGGCTGACGCTGGGGTGGCTCTGGGGCTGGGGGACAGGGATGGTGGGCCCTCGGTGGGAGGCCATGTGGGGGGTGCTCCGTGGAGAGTGTGGAGTGGAGAGGAGCGGGGCCTGGTGAGTGGTGGGTGAGAGGGGTGGTGTCTTCTCACCCCCGAGAGCGAGCTGGAGCTGGGAGAAGGCGGGTGGGGTGGGCCCGTTGTCCTGTCCCAGAGCCAGAAGAGGAAGGTGGAGGTGCTGCCGCAGCGTCCCTGGGAGTGGAGGCTGGGACCACACCCTGGAGTGTCCCCAGGTCCCCCCGACTGACTTCCACGCCGTCCCGAGTCCACGCTTGTCCACAGCCGCCAGCATCAGCTTCTTGACATGATCTGCCGTGACCTCCGCGCCCTGCTCCGCCCACCTGCCTGGGTCGGCCGGGGTCCCCCGTGCCTGGAGGGGCCTCCAGACACAGCCAAGGCGGGAGGGCGGGATGATAGGGAGCCGTGCTGGCGGCTGGGACAGGAAGGGCGTGTGGTCTGGGACGAGGCCGCAGGCAGGTGCTTCCCGGGCTGCTGAGCTCAGCCGTTTCTCCACGAGCCACCCACGTCCTGGCCCTGGGCCTTCTGTGTGCTGCCCCGGCCGCCCCCATGCCCCTGAGGTGGGCACCTGCCCAAGGTGAAGGACCAGAGGGGCAGGGCAGGCACAGAGCAGGTCGCCCGGCCTCTCCCCTTCGACCCCGTTTGGGTCTGGTTAGCCGAATCGGGGGCGCGTGACGTAGGAGGTGGCTTCAAGGGTCACTGTGCCTGGCTTACCCCAGCTCAGCCCTGTGCTGGGGTTTTCTGGCGAGGAAGACGGGGCTGCTCTCAGCAGTGTCACCCCAGGGGAAGGGCCTTCTGGGGCTCAGGGGTGATTTGGAAGCTGTGGGGCTGCTGTGGGGATAGGGGAGCCTTGTCCTTCCCCGGAGGCGGTCGTGGGCCCGAGGCTCTTTCAGACCACGATTGGGTGGTGGGGCCTCAGGGCCAGAGGGGGCCTCATGGGCTCCAGCCCGTGTGTCTGCAGGACGCTCCAGCTGTGTGTCCCCGGCGGCCCTCACATGCCTGCAGGCCTGCCCCCACCCACGTGTGTGTGTGTGGGGGGGTGTTTACACAGATTGAAGGACAGGTCTCGGATCAGTCCTCAGTGCTGGCGGCCCCCATGCTGTTTGCTTCTCCTCCTGCCCTATTTCAGTCGGGACGCTGCTGTCCTCCACCCGGGGCTGACCCCTGCTGCTGGGCCGTGATCCAGTTTAAAGCCTGCTGCTCCCAGGGCAGGCGGCCGGTCACCGGGCAGTGCTTCTCAGGCAGCTCCGTGCTCACGAGAGAGAAGAGCCAGGGGTCACACTTCCTTGCCCTGGGGTGGACTCGCCCCAGCCATTTGTGAAACCGCAGGAATGTCTTTTCCCTTGTATTTGGGTTTTTGGGAATCGTGTGCAGACGTAGCTGGTGCCGTTGTTAGCAGAGGCTGGTGCTGTAGAGGCACGTCCCAGTGTCCCGGTTCCTTCAGCCGCCGGGCGCCCTGGGGGTTGGGACACCTTCACAGTGCTGGGCCAGGGGCTGGGGTGGGGGGGGGTCCCTCAGCCGCCTCCAGGCAATTGGATGGTTCCCAGGAGTACCCGGGCCAGGGCTCCTGATGGACCCAACCTGGCCAGCCCGGTGGAGCCCGCAGACACATGGGGTCTGGCAGTGGCGGGTGGGAAAGCTGTCCAGGCCTGTTTCGGTCTTTAGCTACAGAGTGTTCAGAAAGAGAAGCAATCTGGGAAAATGGGCATGTAAATAAAAAAGACCTCATGATTCTGAGGAGGGTGCACTCCCAACGTGAAAGAAGTCAGCTGGTATCCCGGAAGTCCCCTGCAGGGGCCGGGTTGTGACCGCTCTGGGCCGCTCTGGCTCTCTCTGGCTCTCACGTGTCCGTGTGCTCTGGAGTCCTTCTAGAGAGCTCCCCTCAAATGCCACGCCTGAGCCCAGCTTGGTAGCAGCCCTGAGCTCTCCCCAGACCCCCACATAAAACCCACATGACCTGGGCCACACTGGTGGCACATACCTTCGTGTGAAGGCGCCCCATGAGCCCCGGAATACAGTTGGATGGGGACACACCATTGGCCCCAGGCCTGTGTGGTGGTAGCATCGTGCTGGAGGGAAGGAAATGAGGAAGAGCCCCAGATAGCCCTCAGTGGTTCACCGGAAGCCTTGGGGAGGGGGTCCCACCGAGGCCAGCACCTGAGACTGGAGGTGTTCTGTCCAGCCTGGGAGCGGGAGCTCGGGGCTGCAGGAAAGTCTGAGGGGCTGCAGCCGCCAGGGGCGCACACGGGCTCTCGTGCCGACCAGGACCCACACGGGGCAAAGCCTTCCAAGAGGGGACCCAAAACTGAGTGGGACCCCTGTCCTTGACCACAGATAAAAACAGGGGTGACTGCAGAGCCAGGAACCGTGGGAGAGCGTGTCGCAGACTCAGTCGTGATGCGAGGACAGCAGAAGCCAGAACCCCACCCGGAACCCCGCCCCTGCCCCAGAAAGGTTTGGAATGAAAGGGAACATGGGCAGATACAGGGCCAGAGAGCGAAATCATAACACGCAGAAGCAAGGGTCCAGATCCGAGAGTTTGCAGTACGAGCCAGTTTCACAGTGGTACCTGAAAGAGTCAGGGTGCAATAAAAACAACACATTCCTCAAGAAAAATTGGAGGTAAAAAGGAGGGACATTGTATCTTTTTTATTATTAAATTTTTTTTAACTTGTATTAAATCCAACTTAGTGAACATGACAGCGTCATAGTAATTTCAGGAGCAGAAGTTAGTGTGATTTGGCACTTTTGTGTGCTAACCGGTGACAGGGACATCTTAAAGTCAGACAGAGGGCCCCTGGGTGGCTCAGCGTCCGACTTCCGCTCAGGTCACGATCGCACGGTTCTTGGGTTCCAGCCCCACGGCGGGCTCTGTGCTGAGCTCAGAGCCTGGAGCTGCTTCGGATTCTGTGTCTCCTTCTCTGACCCTCCCCCACTCGCAGTCTCTCTCTCAAAAATAAATAAATGTTTTTAAAAAAGTTGTTTTAAATAAAAAAGAAACGAAGAAAGATTAAAACAGAGTAAAAAAACTTGAAGCTAGTCAAAATCCCAACACTTTGAGGCAAAAACCCAAAGCAAAGAGGGAGTAAATAGGGGACCTTCCTGGAACGTAAACATTAGGCATTGAAAGAGCAGATCACAGACCTGAGAATGCCATGTCAGGCGAGCAGGCCTCGTTCTGCCCTGGTCACTGGGTGCTACGGAAAGCGGCACACTGGGGCCTGTGGGCAGAGCAGGGGTGGGCGCTGGCAGTGTGCCGGAGAAAGTGGAGCCGTGGAGCCGCCCGTAGGGTTCCCGGGGAGGGAGCGGGAGCCCAGGGTCTCCTTAAGACTGACTCACAAGTTGGAGGTGCCATAGGGACTCAGTCCACCGGGTGGTGGGCCCTTCCGTGGAGCCTCAGCAGGTGAGCTCAGACAGACCCCGGCGAGGACAAACGTGCGGTCCCGGGAGGTGGGGCAGGTCAGGACCGCACACGCGGCCGTGGCGGGAGTTCTTCGTTTGTGTTTCCAGGAATAATTGGCAATGGTGGGATCTGCCTCTGATTCTGGGCCGGGCGCCCGGGCCTCTGGCCCGCACTGAGGCAGCCACCTGCTGCCTGTTATCTCGAAGCTACTGTGGGGTCAGCAAATGAGTAACTCAGGGGCGTTCAGATCCTCCTCCCTTTTGAAGATGGGAGTCGCGGGTGTCCCAGAGAAAAGACTGTAGAAAAATCTGTAGGCCTGGATTTGTCTGGAAAGTGTCTGAGAACTCAGAGGAGTTTTACTGTAAGGAAGACAGACAGTGATCCTTTCCTGGTTTTGGTCTGGAGGGGTTTTCCCAGGGCCTCCTGGAGAAACCGCGGGCTGCACGTCTGGGTGGGACAGGTGGATGAGCCTGGAGCCTCTCAGGCTGGGACCGGGGAAGCTGCCAGAAGACCCGGGCCCCGTCCGGAGGGTGTGGAGCCCCCTCGACACGCTGCGGATGGGACACTGGGAGCTCCGCAAGCCGCAGTGGTGACAGTGGGTTGAGACCCACCTTGTACCTTTACACCCCGGAGTTGAGAAAAGGGAGACTCTGGGGCGTCCTCGGGAGGTGGTAGGGACCCGTTCATTACCTTGAAAACCGCACCCATAGGGGAAGTGGGCACGGGCCTGCCGCAGCCGCCTGTGGTTACCGTGCGACCCGCCGGTGCCCTGGACAGCTCTGTCCTGCACGTTCCGTGAATCAGTCGCTCTGAGCGCCACGTGCCTGTGGCTGCCCACTGCATAGCGGCCGCCGACGGTGCGAACAGACCCGTGTGCCCCTGAGGCAGGAGCAGGGTCTTGTCTTCAGGCAGCAGGGGTGGGGACGGGGTCACCTGCTGAGCCACATGCAGCCCGCAGCCCGGACTCTTCAACAGCAAGGCTGTGAGGAACAGCGGGACGCGGGGAATCGGGATCAAGAGACTTTCAGACGCTCCGAATTAAAACGTAGTGGGCCAGGCCGCGCTGCAGCCTGCGGGGATGCACGTGGCCAGCAGCCACGGTGCCGTGCGGGGCGCGATGGCGGGAGGGCCATCCCTGTGGGCCGCCAGGCCCCGTGTCTCGGCCTGGGCACTCGTCTGTCTGTATTTCTGTGTTCAGCTCCACATCCCACTTTGGGGCTCTCGGAGTTCGCGGTCATCTGTCTTACGACAGCACGGCTAACGTTGAATTAAACCACCGGCTTCAGCCCCAGAGGGTCCGCTCGAGGCCCTGAGCTGGCCCCTCCCTTTAGTGGGAAGTTGAGACAGTGTTCGCTGTGGGTCAGGTGCCAGGAGACCCCTCCCCTCCCCTTTCTCTCCTCCTCTCCCTTCTCCCCTCCCCTCCCCTGAAGGGCAGCTATTTCTGCTATTTTTGTGGAGTGAGCACTTTGTGCTTCTCTCTTTCCAGCGGTGTCTTCTTGAATCCTTTCAAAGGGAAAAGCCCCTAGTGAGGAAGGCGAGCCAGGTGGCAGCTGCTGACTTCCTGCCTGACCCCCACGCTGGCCCTCCACTACTACCCCTGAGCCCGGAGCCAGCGGTTGCTTGGAAAGAAAACAGACACCAGCATCCAAAGGTCCTCGGAGGGCCAGGTACCCTCAGGTTGGAAAAGAGCCCGCCTACCAGAGTAACAAAAACTCTCCTCCTCTTAATAATTTCTTTAACACCTGCTTGAAAAAGCAGTGGTGCATGTGGTCAGCTGGACACAAGCAGAAAAGTCAAACAGCCTGAGTCATACCACAAAACCCAGCCGCCTGGTCGGCTGGAGGCCTCGGCACACCCTTCCGGATCTCTGTCCCATCCTGGACCAGGCGCCCAGGCCTCTGGCCCCCATGCATGCGGCCGCTTACTGCTCTTGGGGTGAGGAGGAGCCCCTGACCTGGGGACTGGTGTTTCACAAGCTTCGATTGTACCCAGAGTGCACGTGGTGGGTGTGTAAACACCCTTCCTAGCTGAAGAGTGTACTGAACACGGTGTACTGTTAAATGTTCTCCACAACTTCAAAAACAAAATGTATTTTTTTTTGTTTATTTATTTATTTTGAAAGAGAGAGGGCACACCTGTGGACGCACGAGCAGGGGAGGGGCGGAGAGAGGGAGAGAGAATCCCAAGCAGGTTCCCCACTGCCAGCACAGAGCCAGACATCGGGCTCGATCTCACGAGCCATGTGATCATGCCCTGAGCCGAAATCGAGAGTCGACTGCTTAACCGACTGAGCCACCAGGCGCCCCAAACACGTCTGTTGTCCTTAAGGGGGTGTGGGCAGTAGTGGTGAGTGGGGTAGTGAGGCTGGTGCCCAGGCCACATCGCCTCCCACGTCTGTTTTGTTTTCCTCTCTGCATCTCCGCCACACGTGCTTCCTTTTCCTGAGTGACGTGAACACCAGCACCGGCTCCAGCCCCACCCCCTCCCGACTTCCCACCGGGACTTTTTTGCTCCAGATGATTCCACACCTGGTGCAGGCCAGATGCCAGGCTCCCTGCCAGGGGCATGGGTGTTGAGAGCCAGGGTCCCCGCAGTGCTGCGCCCTCTGCCCTGGAGCTCCTGATTCGGCTGGCCGGGGGCAGCTGAGCAAGAGCCTTTCCAAGTTCCTGCCGATTCTGATGCCACTGTTGGGCCTCTTGGGGGAATGCTGCCTCAGCGTGGGGTGCTGTGTGGTGCAGGGGCGCGGGGTGGCTCTGCCTCTTCCAGGTTTTGATGGAGCTTCGTGGTGCCTCGGGTTGTGTGCTGTGAAGACCCTATTCCATAGTGCCCTCCTTACAGGACTGACTGGCGCAGCCTCCGTGCATCCTCTGGCTTCTTTGCGTGTTTACCAGTGTCCTCACGGCTCCGTGTGTGAGCGCCATGCTCCCGGCCTGCTGGCTGCGGAGAGCAAGAGCCCCGGTCGCAGGTGCACACCGCCTGTCTCTGAACCGAGCCAGTTGCGGGGCAGGCCGCAGCTCTCCTTCCCTGGGAGATGGCTCGGGGCCCGCAGCCGGGGCATGGCCGTGTCCTCAGGTCGCAGACGCCAGGCCCAGGGCCCCACACTCCTTTATTGTCTGTCTGCACACGGCAGACAGGGGCCAGTGTGAGGACTCTGTAACAGAGGCTCTGGTGTGTGGGGTTGCACTCAGCGGGACTCCGTGCCAGCCTGTGATCCCTGTGAGCCCACTGACCGGGCGGGTCCCTCCTTCCGGTCTCCCCCCCCACCCCCACCCCGGGACAGCCTTCCTGGAGCCCAGGTGTGACATCTCCTCCGGGCCTGCCTTGGCTTCTGGTCCCATCCGAGCACCCTCGCCCTGGGACCTCCCTGCCCAGCTGGTGCTTGGGGCTTACAGGATCATTTCCTGGACCTCCACCCATGTTCCTTTATGTGGATACTGCTTATTTCCAGACATTTCTGCTGTGTCCCAGGCATGGTCCTGGGTGTGGGGGAGGCAGCTGGGATGGGTAATGACCACGTGAATGTTCAGTAAAATGTCAGGGAGTGAACGATGGAGACTGAGAGACTGAGGGCTTCTCGCTGACCTGGCCCAGCTGACCTCCCGGGTCACAGGGTGTCCCGAGGCCAGGCTGGGTGGAAACTCTGGGCTCTGGCTCCTGGACAGACTCCCTTGCCCTCCTCCCCCCCAGCCGTGGCTTCCCTGACTTTCCTCCCCTTTGCCTTCTAGTGGACATCCTCATCATGGATGACGATGACGTCCCCAGCTGGCCCCCCACCAAGCTGTCCCCGCCCCAGTCAGCGCCCCCCGCCGGCCCCCCACCCCGGCCGCGGCCCCCGGCCCCCTATATCTGCAACGAGTGCGGCAAGAGCTTTAGCCACTGGTCCAAGCTGACGCGGCACCAGCGCACGCACACGGGCGAGCGGCCCAACGCCTGCGCCGACTGCGGCAAGACCTTCTCGCAGAGTTCGCACCTGGTGCAGCACCGGCGCATCCACACGGGCGAGAAGCCCTACGCCTGCTCCGAGTGCGGCAAGCGCTTCAGCTGGAGCTCCAACCTCATGCAGCACCAGCGCATCCACACGGGCGAGAAGCCCTACGCCTGCCCCGACTGCGGCCGCAGCTTCACGCAGAGCAAGAGCCTGGCCAAGCACCGGCGCTCGCACAGCGGCCTCAAGCCCTTCGTGTGCCCGCGCTGCGGCCGCGGCTTCAGCCAGCCCAAGAGCCTGGCGCGCCACCTGCGGCTGCACCCGGAGCTGTCGGGGCCCGGCGTGGCGGCCAAGGTGCTGGCGGCCAGCGTGCGCCGGGCCAAGGCGCCCGAGGAGGCGGCGGCGGCGGACGGCGAGATCGCCATCCCGGTGGGCGACGGCGAGGGCATCATCGTGGTGGGCGCGCCCGGCGAGGGGGCCGCGGCGGCCGCGGCCATGGCGAGCGCGGGCGCCAAGGCGCCGGGGCCCCGCCCGCGGCGCGCCCCGGCGCCCAAGCCCTACGTGTGCGTGGAGTGCGGGAAGGGCTTCGGGCACGGGGCGGGGCTCCTGGCCCACCAGCGCGCCCAGCACGGGGACGGGCTCGGGGCGGCGGGGGCCGAGGAGCCCGCGCACATCTGCGTGGAGTGCGGCGAGGGCTTCGTGCAGGGCGCGGCGCTGCGGAGACACAAGAAGGTGCACGCCGTGGGCGCGCCGTCCGTCTGCAGCCGTTGCGGACAGAGCTACTACCGGGCGGGCGGGGACGGCGACGGCGACGGCGACCGCGAGGCGGCGGGGGGGCGCTGCGGCGAGTGCCGCGAAGCGGAGGGCCGGTAGGGGCGGGGGCCCGGGGGGGCGGGGCGGGGCCCCTCGGGCTTGGCGGGGACTGCGGCCCGGGACCCGGAGACCAGGGCCGAAGGGCGCGGCGGGCGGCGGCGGCCTGCTGGGCTCGCTCCGCGGTGCGACGGGCGCCCCCGGCCTGGCCCGCCCTTCCGGTTCTCGGCGACCCCGGGACAGACCGCGCGTGAGAACTGGACACCGGCCCCGGGCCCCTCTTGACCTTCCCCCGCCGCCTGGGGCGCTCGCGAGGGGTGGAGAGCCCCGGGCGCCTCGCGCGCAGGGGAGCCTGGGGGAGGGAAGGGCGAGAGGGTCCTTTCCCCTTAGAGTTTTCGTTTAATCACACCGCCCCCCGACTCTTCCCTTCCATTATTTTTTCTCTTCTTCCCCGCGGGCCCTGTTATTTTTCTCGGTCCTCGTCCCTCCTCCCCTTCCTGGGTTTGGGGTCGTGGCGGAGCGCTGGAGCAGGACTAGCCCGTTCCGAGCGCGCCCCTCGGAGACTGGGGTCCCGTCTGTTCCCGGGCCTGGACGCGGCTGAAGGAGGGGTGCGGGGGCAATAAATGGCACTATCTGATTGTCCCTGCTCTGCGTGGTTCTTGAGTCGGGAGGGAGGAGGGGTCCCACCCAGCAGTCCCGGAGGGACAGCAGCAGACGGCTGAGCGGCCCGGAGAGGGACCTCAGCGGGTCACCTGCACTGCGGCTGTGCGCCTTCCACACAGAAGGTCACTGGGCTTGGAGCCCTTGGTGGCCTGTGAGGATCTGGGGCGGGTTCAGAGTGGGGCCTGCTGACTGCTGCTTTTATTTACTTTAAAAAATTTTTTTTTAACGTTTATTTATTTTTGAGAGACAGGGCATGAGCAGGGGAGGGGCAGAGAGAGAAGGAAACTCTGAAACAGGCTCCAGGCTCTGAGCTGTCAGCACAGAGCCCGACATGGGGCTCGAACCCACAGACTGTGAGATCATGACCTGAGCCAAAGTCCAATGCCCTGCCTCCTGAGTCCCCAGGCTGCTGACCTTTTAGAGGACTCCCCGGGCCTGGCGGGTCCTCCCGTGGGGCAGAGGACAGGGTCAGAGGCAGCCCTGCTACTGTCTGTGGTTCCCCCACAGGCATCCGAAGCCCCTCCCTGCACCAGCTCGTAGGAGAACCCGGCGTGGAATGACGCGTCTCCCCCCTGCTCACATCCCAGTAAGTGTGGGGGAGGCGGGGGGAGCAGTCACGAGGTCACATTTCCCTGGAGATGTCCCTGGGCAGGAGGAAGGGGAGGGACTTTGGTGGGTAGTTGTGTCCCCTGCACGGTTCCAGGTGTCGGGGCCAGCGGGGGTCAGGGGACTGTTTTGGGGGCTCCCTACACTCAGGCTGCTGCGCGGTGTGTCCCGTGGAGTCACGCAGCATCCTGTGAGGCGAGGCCCGCTAGCCGGTCGTTCATCGGGACTGGGCCCCCTGACGCAGATTCCGGTTTGCTGGCGCCTGCGGCCTGGGGCCTGGGACTGTGGGAGAAGGGACCCCACCAACGGGTATTTTCAGCCTGGCTGACTGGCCAAGGCCAAGGGCCTTGTTGCTTTGACCTCTGAGGAAAGGGCAGCTCACTAGGAGCAGGGGGTGAGATTTGCAGCCTGAGCCCGGAGTCCGCCACCCGGTGCTCTGCTGACCCAGGGCGGCTCATGCTTCCCAGGCCCCCCGATGCCCCCGGGCCTCAGGTCCTCATCTGGAGGACAAGGGTCTCAAAACCAAGGCCCTGGATGGCCACGGGGCAGGGGTTGGGGTGGGTGCCCGAACCCCCGAGGATCTCTGAGACCCTCTTGGTCGTGACTGTAGGCCAGAAAAGCATGTTCTCAAGTGCCGTTGCCTTGTTTGGAGAATGGTGAACGCGGTTCAGTTTGTTTCAGGGTCTCAGGTCGCTTTAAAGCGGGGAGGGCAAAGCTGCTGTTTGTCCAGAGAGTCTGTGTGTCAGCAAAGCCTTGAGAAAACCTTGCCTGACGCCCTTGGGTCCCCTGCGTGGAGCGGTGACTGTGGACACCTCCGGAGGGGGGAGTGGGAAGGGGAGGAGCTGTGGGCGCCTGCGTGGTGCGGGGTGCCTGCCACATGCGGGGGGGTACACAGTAGCCCCGGGACGGTTCAGGATGGACTTCACGCCCTCAGCCCTGCCCCTTCCGCTCCTTCCCGGGGGTGGGACCCGGCGCACGTCTTCCCTCTGCAAGGGGAAGGTCACTTCCCACTGGGCAAGTGAACCCTGGCCCTCGGGTTCCTCCTCTGCAAAGAAGAGCCTGCCTGTCCCCCGTGACTGACTGTGCGTGCCTGGTGCCCACTCACGGACGGTTCATTCCTTTCCCAGGAGGGAGTGTAGTGCAGCGTGCGGGCGCCGAGGTTCACATCGCGCTCCACCCGCCAGGGCCCCCCTCCCCCCTTCTCGGAGTCTGAGCTTACCTCACTTACTGCAGGACTCGGTGAGCCAACATGACTGTGTGCCTAGAGGTGCCCTAGTCATTTTAACATCTCATCACTGTTGTCCCGATGTTTTCCAGAAAGACGTGTCACAGACTCACCGAAGTGAGACTGCAGATACCTTTGCCCACAAAGTCCCAGTCGTGCACGACAAGAATTCATACCCTTGGTGCACTTACTGTGATGCACCGGGCACCGTTCTCAGCCTGCACTGCGATGCAAGGTGCCAATTACATGTTTCTTTATCCTGACAGTGTGCGTGTCCACGTCACAGGCGCCCCGCCAGACCCGGGCTCTGGGGTAGATGTGCCCGTACGGAGGACTGAGGCACAGGGTGGGCCAGGCCCTGTCAGCCTCAGCCCTGTTGGCACTTTGGACTGGGCCATTCTTTGTGGTGGGGGGGCTGTCCTGGGCCTCCTGGGGTGTCCAATAGCGTCCCCGGCCTCCACCCAGTAGATGCCAGGAGCTCCCTGCAGACAGCCCAGTGTCTCTCCAGACCTTGCCAGATGTCCTCTGCACGTGAGGCAAATCACCCCGAGCTGAGAACCACTGAATCACATCAAAGGAGCTGTACAGCCCTTAGCAGCTCCTTCCTCTCCTGGAGTGAACATTCCCTTATTCTTTTTTTTTTTTTAATTTTTAACCTTTATTTATTTTTGAGAGACAGAACATGGTGGGGGAGGGGCAAAGAGAGAGAGGGAGACACAGAATACGAAGCAGGCTCCAGGCTCTGAGCTGTCAGCACAGAGCCCAACATGGGGCTTGAACTCACGAACAGGGAGATCGTGACCTGAGCCAAAGTCGGATGCTTAACCGACTGAACCCCCCAGGCACCCCCTCACTCTTCAAGCTTAAAAGCCCAGAGTGAACCAGTTTAAACACATCTGTGGCCAGTTTGGGTTTGAGGGGCTTCCAGTTTCTGAACCTTTCTTTAGCATTGACTCAAGAGAATACATTCTCGCCAAGCACGACACGTTTTAGCCCCCCAAACAAAGAAAAGGTAAGTGAGAGGGGACAGATGTGTTAATGAGATGGTGGGAGCCTGTTCAGAGTGGAGGTACATGTGTATCAAATTCAAGGTGTACCCTCTAAATGTCTTACCATGTGTCAATTTTACCTTAAAGCTGGAAAAGTTTTGTTTCTTTTTAAGGGGGGATTAAGGTTTTAGGAATCCCCTATCAGTAACATTTGTGTCCTTTTCATGATCTTGAACCAGAATTTTATTTCACTTTTAAGAAAGTTTATTTATTTATTTTGAGAGAGAGCGAGTGAATGGAGGAGGGGGGAGAGAGAGGGGGAGGGGGAGAGAGGGAGAGGGAGAGAGAATTCCAAGCAGGCTCCTCACTGTCCGTGCAGAGCCTGATGCGGGTCTCCATCTCACGACATGAGATCATGACCTGAGATAAAATCAAGAGTCAGACGCTTAAGCCACGGATCCACCCAGGTGCCCAGGCCCACAATTTTAAGTTGGGACATATCACATGAAAACACATGGATTTCTGGCTTTTCGGAGAAGTTCTGGCCACACCAGTCATCTTGTTGCTGGAGACGGTTGGCTGGGGCACTGACATGTGCGTTCGTGTGCGTAGGACACTCGTCTGTCCACCCCAAGCCCAGGACCCTGAAGTAGGGCTTTACGATGTGCAGACCCGATATGTCTTGGGCTTCCTTTTCAGACAGTAGAGTTGGTTCTGGAGGCCAGAGATTTTTGGCTCCGGGATCAAACGTGCATTTGAAGTGGGGAAGGTGGTGGTGGCCCACGAGGCCAGGACTCTGCCAGTGCTTCAGGTCAAAACATGATATCCCCAACCGCCCCCAAGAACTTGTTGCAAAGCAGGTTCCCGGGAAGGCTCTGTCCCCTGCATTCAGATTCTGTAAGTCATGGCTGGGGTCTCAGAATCTGCCTGTTAATGAGCGTTTTGGGCGGTTTTGGCAGCTGCTGTAGTGTGGAAGCTGCTGCCTGAGTCAAGTCGGACATTCCCCACTGGGAAGGAGCGCTTGCTCTGTGTTTGGGCCCGCGTGAGCTTTGACGGGCATACGGACGTGGAGGGGCACTGCTGGTCAGGCAGGGGCCTGGGACCTGTCCCCAGGGGTTCTCATGCAGTGTGTCTGCAACAGGGCTTGATGGCCCACATGTCGAACCAGCCCCAGAATCCTGGCCAAGCTGGTGGCCGGTGCTGGAAACACATCAGCTTCCACAAGACTGGGCGCGGGAACTGTGCTTTCATGCCATTCTGTGCCACTTACCCATTTGTCCACGCACACGTGTATTCACTCAGCCCCTCGCTTCTCCAGCAAGTACTTATGGGATGCTGCCAGGCATTGCTTTGGGTGCTCGGGTAAAAGAGAGATGCATGTTCACTTCTCATCATCTTATCGTGTCGTCCTCATGGCGAGCCCACGCTGCAGCCCTTCACCCCCAAAGGGGAAATCAAGGGCATGAGAATTTGGACAGCCTCGGCGCTTCGATCTCGTGAGCGCACAGTGGTTATGGAGCCACAGGTCTTGTTTGCTGCCACGTGTCCGGCGCCTGCTGTGGTGCCAGCCTGACTTCTCTTCCTCGCTTAACCCAGTCCTCACAAAGGCCCGGGTGGTGGGCACCACTCCTCCCCTGTTGGCAACGGAACTGCTACCAGGTCGTGGTCTATAAAGTTGTAGAACTGAGATCTGAACTCAAAGCCCCAAACCTCACAGTCCTTCGACTATGTCCATGTCTACCTCCTCCTTCTTGTTTATTGAGCTCTTACTATGTGTCTGAGACCCTGCCAAGCACTGGGGATGCATTGGTAAACATGACAGGCACATTTGGACCCCTGGAGCTACCTGCTGGTGTGTGTGTGCGTGTGGGTGGTGTCAGGGAGTGACACATGGGTGAGGATTGATGTGGAGAAGGTCCTGGGGTGGGGGGAGTGGGACAGGCGTTTGTCTGGAGAGGCAGGGTCTCAAGGGGTGGAAGCCAGTCACGGGGTGACTGTCCAACCCCCTTCCCACCATGAATGCTTTTATCTGAGAATATGTATTCCACGTCTCCCCACATGACTGTTAAGTGAACACGTATTAAGCTGAGCACAGATGGTGAGCTGTAGTTCAACAACAGACCACAAGAGAAACTGAAATGGAGAAGTTTATTACTTGC